CCCTTTGTAAAAGACAGTTACATTTGTAAGGGAAATCACCATTTGTAAATATATCTCCTTTTCTGTACCAGGAAAAGGGGGATGACCTTATTTCTAGAAACTTTTATCAATGCAGAAGGCAAGGACTTAAATCTACATCATAACCTTACTCTTGTTTGCTGTGCTTTTCTGGTAATCTCCCATAACTGACTCCCCCCACCCTCAACGTCCTCCTTTGTCTTTAGCTGAAGGTGGTATTTAAGGTGGCAGCTTTGGTCATTCTGGCAAGTTGCTCAGTTTTCCTGGGTTTCTCCCATGTTTACGTGTTATAAGGCTTTGTTTGATTTTCTCCTGTTATTCTGTCTCATGTCAATTTAATTAATAGCCCAGCCAGAAGGACCTAGAGGGTGGAGGAATTAATCTTCCTCTTCTACAGAGGCATATTTTGGGATGGCAAATTCTGCTCCCTTTCACTGTCTACAAGAAACTCACTTCAAATATAATTATACATATATATTGAAATTAAAGGATTGAAAAGGATAAACCATTCAAACATCAGCAAAAGGAGGAGTGCCAGTATTAATATCAGATAAGTAAAATTAAGAGCAAAGAAAATTACCATGGACAGAAAGAGACATTACAGAATGGTAAAAGGGTCAATCCCATAAGAAAACCAAACAATTCTAAATGTATATGCACCAAATAACAGAACTGCAAAATATATGAAGCAAAAACTGATAGAACTGAAAGTAGTAGAGTAATTCACAATTATAGGTAGAAAATTCAACACTCCTCTCTTAATAATTGGTAGAATGACCAGACAAAAAATCAGCAATTACATAGAACTCAACGAGTGGCTATGCCATTTGTTTTTATCTGTAAAACAGGCATGATAATGTAGGGGCAGAAAACCTTTCCCTCCTTTCCTTCTAAGTTCTTTGGCTGGTCTAATAATTAAATTGACAAAGGACAGATTAACAGAAGAAAAACACATTTAATTTCATACATACAGGAGTCCCATAAGAATATGACACTCAAAGGCAGTCAAGCAACTGAGGTTAATATGCCATCCTGAGCTAAGGAATGGACTGGAGGCCTAGGGCTTCAAAGGCAGGGAGGGCGATTCACAGGAAGATAAGAAGAGCAGATGTTTTTCTGATCAGATGTTTGCCCTGCCGTGCAAGTAAGTCTTTCAGATGAAAAAAAGAAAGTTATCTCTGGCAATAGCTGTCTTTCTGGTATAGGCGCCCTCTCTAAATTTTTTAGGCAGTTAATAGGGAAGTAAAAATCTTTTCCTGAGTCTGCTACGTTTCAATAGCCTTCAGCTCAAAATAATGCACTTGCTAAAGTGGCACATTTTGGGGTAGTGTATTCTGTTCCCCTTCAATAATAATAGTACTTATACTGTGCTGAATTTCCATGAAGATTTAATGAATTTATATTTACAAAGAGCTTAGAGATGTAACAGGCATATAATAAGCCCTCAGATATAATAACCTATTCATTCATGGAAATCACCTGTTTAAAAGATAGTAAATAGACCACAACTCAAAGGAAAATGGACAAGGGACGTACGTAATCAAACATAATAGAAAAAAGTATGATTATCAAAATGTTCAATTTCATTAATAGTAGTTGTTTTCAAAATAAAAACAACAATGAGATTTAATTGTTCATGTCTCAGAATTGAAAAGATTTAAAAGACTGACAACATCCACTGTTCAAGAGGACTTGTGGAAGTCAGCAAAATAATACTGTTAATAGGAACGTAAACAGTCTTTCAGGAAAGCAACTAAGGGATATGTGTTAAAAAAATAAAATCTGTATATAAGATAAATTGCCTTCAAGTCTTCTTTGTTGGATAGGGAGGTAAGCAAAACTTTCCATAACTGAAAGGAGAACTGGGGTGTAGTACAGGTAACTTTTCTCCTGTTGGCTTTGTCACTCAGAGACTGGAGCTCTGAAGAAGATGTGGCTGTTTATTAGGAACGGGGGTGTATATACCTCTCTAGTATTTCACTCAATTTCATGGGCTTGCCTACTGGCTCTGCTATGGGCAGAATTGGTGCCTCATCAGAATCAACTGGGGAGATTCATAAATTTTTTTCCTGGCTTCTCAATCCCCGCTACAGATCCAGGGTCTACCACTGACTTCAGGCATCTCATTTTCTTTTTTTTTAAATTCCCCACTTTCGATGAAAATAGTCCACAACCAATCTATAAATGAAAATTGGGGTGAGTTTATTATGAGCCAGATCTGAGGACTAGCTTAGCCTGGGGCCTTCTTTCCCCAAGGAAGGAAGGGCACCAAAGAAGTCGGGGTGTACAGAGTGGTTATATACTATCAAAGAGTGTGGGTCACATATGATAGAAATGTCCCTTTTACAATAGTCATGAGATTGCTCTGTTGGCAAAGTGATTGACGGACACAGAAGGAAGTAAGTCTGTTGTCTTGACCTGGGTAGTCACAGGGTGAGCACAGCAATCAATTCTTAGCCTAGGGAGAGATGGTTATCCTTAGGCAGAGGTGGGGGGGTGTATCTTTATCTCAAGGTGATTTCTTCTTGTCCTTGGGACACAGCAAATGCTTAAAGCAGATATACAATGTATGCTCAACAGCCACATCAGGCCCTCTTGAAAGAACAAGGTCAGGCCAAATTACGTTTACACCAAATGGCTTCCTCATATGCTCCAAGATATCCTATTGCTTGCCATTTGTTTATCACCGTTCGCTTGTTAAAGATCAGCCAGGTGTCAGAACAGATGGCAAAAAGGCCTAGCTTTGAGTTTAGGAGGTCTGGGTTTTGGTTTGAGCTTGTCAACTCAGGATATAGTTTTAGGTAAAATATCAAACATTGGGAAGAAATGAGAGTAAAAAATGAGGAAGGAAGGAAAGAGAAAGAGAGAGAAAGGCAGAAAGTAAACAGACAAGCAAAAGTCATGAAGAACAAGGTGAGGAGAAAATAATCGCTACTTCAGAAGATCATTCTGAAGAGGCTAAGAAATAACATTATTACGCAGATCTCACCCCCTGGGAGACACAAGGGTCAGTGATTCTTAAACTGTAGCCTGAGTTTGCTACTAATTTTTGGGGGGAGGAGGGATCTTTTTATAATCTAAAAAACTAAAAATTGTTAATTTCTAAGCCAAATGTCTCTTTCACAATTATATTTTGCATATACTGGGATAGGAAACATTTATGCTGCAGTCAGCTGAGACGTGGGATGTGGGGAAAAATAATTTAAGTTTAAATTTTCTCTTAAAAGAGGTCCTTTCTGAGAAATTCTACTTTAAATTTTATTTCTTCATGCAAAGACACTGCTGTATGTCACCTACATGAAGCGCTCACGAACCGAAGGAAAATACTTTTGTTTTTCCTTTTTAATATGCAGTCAGCAGCTGAATCTTCTCCTCGCTCTACTTCCCCTCCCCCAACCCCGGACCTAGAACTGCCCCACTGACTCCTCTTCCTCAACCAATGCCTTTTCTGTCTTCTTGGGATTATTTTTGGAGTCCTGGATTGTTTGAAAAAGGTTTACCCAGTAAACTAGTACATCTTCCTCTCCAACTGGGGCCCTCCCTGTCAGCCACGAGGTGGCGCCAGACGGGGCAGGGCGGGAAATTCAAACCCTTTGTCCCTCCGGGAGCTGGAGGGCCACCGTCCCCGCACTGCTGGTGGCATCCCTGAACAGTAAATGAACCAGGAAACGGGAGCCCGGATTTCTGGGATGCAAGAAAAATTGAAACGGCTTTAGATTGCATAACCTCTAGAAGTGTCCACGGGACCCACAAGTGATTTTGTTTAGTTTCCCAAATGCTCTAAGATAGGGTGAGTTCAGGCTCCGGGAAGCAACGCCCCTAACTGCCCTTTCCGCCGCTCGGACCTTCCCCTGCCCCCAGCCAAGGGCAGTCTTAATACTCGCTAGGCTACCTAATTCTCTGAAATCCTTAAACCGCTTTCTTTACCCAGCAGAGAAATTTCAATTTCCATCATAAACATGCAGGGGTAGAGAGGGGAGGAGTGAACACTTCCTGTACAGTTTAACAAGCACCGGGAGGCTTGGTCAGGAGGAGACCGAACATGGGTTTAGGAAAACAAAGATGTGAAATAGCTGTCCTTAGGATACTGTACCACAGCAGTGTATTTCTCTTAAAGCCAAGTTACCCACAAAGTAGAATATTGCCTCTAATATTGCCTCAACTATCACCAATCATTTCAATAGATTCCTTAGTACTCAAACTAATCAGTAGAGCAGACCGAGCTACTCCACTAAGAAATGGCAGTCATAGCTCTCTTTCGAAAAAGTGGGTGGCTCTGAAAAGAGCCTTTGGATTAAATGGTGCCTACAGAGGCATTTACTTGGAGCTGGTGTACTTGGTGACGGCCTTGGTGCCCTCGGACACGGCGTGCTTGGCCAGCTCCCCGGGCAGCAGCAGGCGCACGGCTGTCTGGATCTCCCTGGAGGTGATGGTCGAGCGTTTGTTGTAATGCGCCAGGCGCGACGCCTCGCCCGCGATGCGCTCGAAGATGTCGTTGACGAACGAGTTCATGATGCCCATGGCCTTGGACGAGATGCCGGTGTCGGGGTGGACCTGCTTCAGCACCTTGTACACGTAAATGGAGTAGCTCTCCTTGCGGCTGCGTTTGCGCTTCTTGCCATCTTTTTTCTGAGCCTTAGTGATAGCCTTCTTAGAGCCTTTCTTAGGCGCCGGAGCCGACTTGGAAGGTTCAGGCATGGTTTTTCCAAAAAGCAGTAGAAACAAACACCACAATCCCCGCCACAAAAAGTAACATGGTGAGTCCAGAGCCCATTTATTTATAGTTCTTAAATGCAAAGGAAGGTTCAAGATCTCTCGGTTCTGATTGGACAGAAGCACTGAGAAGAGATGTTTATGCAAATAAGGGACTCACATTCTCTTTTCCCATTGGATATATAAACAGCCCATTTTGACCAATCGGATAGCAGACTGGCACATCCCTGCGCTGTCTATAAAAGGATTTCTTCTACCCACGCTTTAGGTTTTTTTGTTGTCTGCTAAGTTTTGGTCTTTGAGTTTTGTTCGCTTACTATGTCTGGGCGTGGGAAACAAGGAGGCAAAACTCGAGCTAAGGCTAAAACCCGCTCTTCTCGGGCCGGGCTGCAGTTCCCCGTGGGCCGAGTGCACCGCCTGCTCCGCAAGGGTAACTACGCCGAGCGGGTCGGGGCCGGCGCGCCGGTGTACCTGGCGGCGGTGCTGGAGTACCTGACGGCCGAGATCCTGGAGCTGGCGGGCAACGCGGCCCGCGACAACAAGAAGACGCGCATCATCCCGCGCCACCTGCAGCTGGCCATCCGCAACGACGAGGAGCTCAACAAGCTGCTGGGCAAAGTGACTATCGCGCAGGGTGGTGTGCTGCCCAACATCCAGGCCGTGCTGCTGCCCAAGAAAACTGAAAGTCATCACAAGGTCAAGGGAAAGTAAAGCCTAAGCCAGAACAGCGCATAACTTTCAGTTTTTTCAGTCATATAAAGGCTCTTTTCAGAGCCGTCCACGTTTTCACAAGAAAAGCTGGTAACCAGGCTGTTTCGTCGGTAGTAATAGTTTCAAATGTGTTTGTAAAGTACAGTTAGCCATAAAACGTTGAGTTCCAGGAATATACGCTGTTCACAATAAAGATTATAAGTACATTATATGGGGAATTTAGGACACCAAGAAGTTTCTAAAACAAAGGCAGAGTCGGGATGTTACGCGGACTCGAGAATAGCAAGGAGCAGGGAAATTTCCCATTGGCCAATAATACAGCTGGGGCTTCTGAAGTTTTCAATTTAAACAAAAACCGTTTGTCCCACATAAGTCAGTGGACATTTGCGGCGGTCCATCGTGTTATCTCATTAACAGACCAGGGGCTTTACATATGATCTCCCAAGTAATCCACCCAGGGACCCTAGTGCCATGCAGTTTGATACAAGAGAAAATAAACTCGAGAGTAGGGGAGCTATAAAGACCAAGAGCTAGGAAGCGACAGTCCAGGCGACTGGAGACTTACTTTTTAAAAAGCTAACCTGTCTGGGGGAGAAGAAAGAGATTGAATTTAGTGTGCAGACCGGCAGGATTGAGAAACCTGCCATCGTGTCAAGAATTGAGCATATCAAGTCTCACTCAGATTAACTGAATCAGAAGTTACATTTAATGTGGTCCTTAGATGGCTCGTTAAGCACACGTTCTTGGTAACAGGATGAGCTAGAACGTTTGAAAATTCCTTCAGATGTCAGACAAAAAAAGAGGATGGACGGTGACGTAATTCATCCAATCAAATGCTCTAGTAATTAACCACTCCTCCTGGTTCCCCTTGGGCCAATGGTTTTATCGCGCGGGACTTTTGAAAATTGACAGGGCCAATCAGAATGCTTCCAACTATATTTAAAGACAACTTGGCTTGTGGGTGCCACTGACTCAGCGTGTCCTCAGACACTCCCAATGGCTCGCACTAAGCAGACAGCTCGTAAGTCCACCGGCGGCAAGGCGCCGCGCAAGCAGCTGGCCACCAAGGCGGCTCGCAAGAGCGCGCCGGCCACGGGCGGCGTGAAGAAGCCCCACCGCTACCGGCCCGGCACGGTGGCCCTGCGCGAGATCCGCCGCTACCAGAAGTCCACCGAGCTGCTGATCCGCAAGCTGCCCTTCCAGCGCCTGGTGCGCGAGATCGCGCAGGACTTCAAGACCGACCTGCGCTTCCAGAGCTCGGCCGTGATGGCGCTGCAGGAGGCGTGCGAGGCCTACCTGGTGGGGCTCTTCGAGGACACCAACCTGTGCGCCATCCACGCCAAGCGCGTCACCATCATGCCCAAGGACATCCAGCTCGCGCGCCGCATCCGCGGGGAGAGGGCATAAATTGTCGTTTTTAGTCTGCGAACCCTGAACCCAAAGGCTCTTTTCAGAGCCACCCAATGATCTCAACAGAAGTAGCTGTGATAGCTTATTTTATGTGCCGCTTTACATAAAACTACTTGACCGGGCTAAACGCTGGTACTATATAATCAGTTCTAAATCCCTAATAGGAATATCGGGAGCAGGCGGTATGGTCACCAGTACCAGAAGACAATACAACAAGGCAACGTTAGATTTCCTAATGGTTTCAGCTGTACTCAACTATAATAAGTAATACTCATTTAAGGTGCTTTCTCGCTATGTTCTTACTTGTTTTAGACAGGATTAATTTCGGTAATCGCACTCCAGAAACACAAACAATAGTCTGAGAAATGTACATTGTCTTGAGCTTTTTGTAAAGTGTTTCAGGGTCCAAAAGACCTCGTTTGAAATCTAGAGTTAAAATTATTTTCTTTTCAGTATATTAGAAGACTTTCACCCCAATATATATACATTGGATCTCCTCTTACCTTTTAAATTAACCTGGAAATCTGTTGTAAATGTGAGGTAAGTAATTACTTGCATATTTTAAAGCTAGCTACCTATTTTTTAATCTGTTGACCAAGCATAATTTATCCAATCCCTTTTACTTACTAAATTATTTTCTATATGTGCACCTGTGTATTAATCTACTTGGTTGCATTGCTTTATCTCTTTTAAGGGTGTGCCCTGTGGTATGCTGTGCCACACAATTTTTTCACATTTCTTGGCAGTAGTTTCCATTCAAAATAGGATTTACAAGTTGAAACCATTTTCCTTTTAGTGATGTTGCTTTTCTATATTTGGGAGTTGCGGATTCAGTATTACAAGGAAGGTGACCCACACGGGGATAGTGTCTGAATGTGAGAAGAAAAATAACATTTACTTTAAACTTTAATTTCTGTATTTCACCCAATGATTGTTTCAGACAGCAATCTTTTTTTTATTGTGTAAATTTTACACTATATTTTACAAATAATTTTTTACTTTAGAACAACACAGAATGCTGAAGAACATGACAGCCACCGATTGCAAAGGCTTTGCTGCAGTTTTCTTTTCCTCCACACCTTATTCCTTAAGTCTGGCATTCTTTCTTTGCGTCCATCTGAGATGTGAATTGATGCACCGTGGTAAAATCGTTGGAGAACTTTCAACAACAAAAACCAGAACACCCAAAAGATTAAACCTGAATTGTGTAGTTTACTTGGATTTATTTGTGTGCCAGAGTTTTAATAAAAAAAAAAAACCTTTTGGTTTACAGTATAATATTTGCATTTTTTAAATGATAAGGTTGGACATTTCCGTGTGTGTGTTGTTTTATTTTTAATATTTCATTTTTTCAGACTCTGGCACAAGCAACTTTGCCTGGCACAAACCTCCGTTACCCATACAAGAGACCTGTCAGCTGCATCAGTGCTCTTGGCTTAAACCAAGCCCAGCTGAAATCCAAGTGTCTCGATTTCTCTTGTTGTAGCTGTGCTGGCTCTTATGTACACTGACTTTTTCTCCTCAGATTTTGTGTATCTGTAGGAAAAAAGGTGTTTTAGGTACAGGACCTGACCAGATAGCTTTAAAAATGTAAAAATGCCCATTACTGTATGAGGGTCAGACGGACAGGAGACAGTGGCTCAGAATGGCTGCTCCTTTGCCCCACTCCCCACTCTCCAGCCAAGGAAGATGAATTTGGCTTTGTCTTCATTTACTTGAGTCCCTTGATGGAACAACTGCCAGTGGCTAGGAAAAAATGGTTAGCATCATCTTAAAACTCATAACCTTGTTAATTTTTCTACAAGCCGATGTACTCTGGAAGCTGGCAGCACAGAGCAGCATTTGAATGCCAGCTTGCCAGGGTTCAAACCCAAGCTTTACTACTTTCTGTGTCATCTTCGACAAATCAGTTTCTCTATCAGCAGAAAAATGGGGCTAACAGTACCCACCTCTGGGTTGTGATTTTTGGATGCCTAGCGTTATATAAATGCTATTAATTTTCCTGAGCTGTGCATCAGTTTCTCTTATACTCTAGGATTTTTTAAAAATTGAAATAAAGACAAACTTGAGCTTCTAAATTTCCTTTTCATTTGGCATGACTTAGTTGCATAGATTCTGCTCAGTTTAAAATAAAACTTCAGCTGATATTTTAAAATCAAAGAATGGGAAAAATTCACATTTGTAAAAGAAAATTTGCTGAATGTTTTGGACTGGAGGGTAGCACCAGTGTATATCACTGCCTTAAACATCTATTACTTTATCTTATCGGACTGACTAAGATCAGGCTGGAGACAAAAAGGGGGTGTTTAATGTAAAAATTGCATCTTTTAAATGGCTCTTGCATGGCCTTCTGTCAAACAGGCATTTTCATCCCCAGGCACCACAGAGTGATGTTACCCGACAGGCCGAAATTTGCAGATAACGCTGTGGGAGTCTAGAACCAGTTTTGGTTTGTTAGAGACTCTCAGAGGAGAGGAGGAGGAAGTCAAAGTCAGAGTGTGTTTTTCAGACTTAAAAATTTAGTAGTAGCCCTGCCAGTTGTCCTAGTAGAAGTGACCTATTGGTCAATGAGTGTCTTAGGGAGATTTAAGACGACAGTGGGAAGTGGGTATAGACATTTGAACTGCTCTCCAGGCCTGGTTGCAGGAAAGTCAGAAGATTGAGATTCTCAATGCACCTTGGGAGAAGGTACAAAAGAACATTTCCAGACAACCATTTTTAACATGTCATGTATGAAAAACAAAACAGAATCCATCAATGTCTTGTACTTTATTAAATGCTGTGATTAGGAAAAATCCTCGCTAATATATACACACTTGTCTTCTCAATATTGTGTTGGGAGTAAAAGCCTGAAAATGAGAGCTCAGGGCAATATCCCAAGCCCAGGCAGATTCTTTAAGTACTAGTAACAGCGAAAAACAAGTCCCACTTAGGGAGGACTTCTCTGTGCCAATCTCTGTTCTAACACTTTGCTTACATTAGCTAATTTCAAGCCTCACCAAAGTTCCATGAGTCGTATCATTACCCCAGCTTTACAGATGAAGAAAATGAAAGCAAGGTTACAAGGTCACACAGCTGTAGGGCAGGAAGAATAATTTTCCCTCTACCCTTCTGAGTTCTTAGCTGAGATCCCTGTAATAAAAGATAGATTAACATGAGAAAAACAAATAGAAGTGTACTAACGTGTACACCTCATGTGTACATGGGCGATACCCAGGGAAAAAGGAGTTATTTCCAGACATGGCTAGAATTCAGACTTAAACAACATCTTAATAGAGAAAAGGGAGGGGAAATGTAGGCCTCTTAGGGGAGAGAGATGATTTTTTGCAAAGATGAATGAACCCTTAGAATAGATGGGAGGTATGATTATTTGTGACAAGATTTGTCTGGGTGTGGTGTCAACTTTTAGTCTTTCCTGTGGTAAGTGTCACTCCTCCCATGTTAATGAAACTCTCTGGGAAGGGATTTCTGACAATTGATTTCCTTTTGGAGGATTTGTCTTTGGGTAGATAAGCCAAGTTCAGAGAAAGCCTCTCTCTGCATTTGCAGTTTTTCAAAGTGCCTACAGCTGAAAATAATCAACATACCTGAAGGGAAGGAAAAATAATTTTCCCTCTACCCTTCTAGGTTCTTTGCTGAGACCCCCTATATAAAAGGCAGATAAACAAGAGAAAAACAAACAGAATTTAATAGCATGTATACCTCAGGTACACATGGGAGAGACCCAGGAAAACCGAGTGAAACTCCCCGAATTGGCCCAAGACACGGCCTTAAATACCATCTTTAGCTAAAGGAAAAAGAAAGATATGAGGGGGTGGGGAGCCAGCTATGGGAGGTGACCAGGAAAAGGACAGTAAACAAGACTAAGGTTGTTACATAAAATTATGTCCATGCCTTCTCCATTGACAAGATTCTCTGGTGGTTTAGTCATCCTTCTCTTCCTGGTACAGAACGGAGACACAAAAATTGAGATTTCCTTTATAAATGTAAGTGTCCTTTACAGAACAGTAAATTCTACTGTTTTTAGAGATGTCTGATGTTTCTTAAAAATAATTAACTCTATAGCCCTTATGCCAAAGAGACATATTTTGGGGTGGCATATTCTGCTAATCTTCACAGCTAGCAATCACTCCCTTTTGAATGAAAAAGTACAGGACTTTGTCATAAAACATAAGCACTGGTGAAATTTTCAGCCAAAGATATTGGTTCAGATTCAAATAGCAACGGGAGCCAAAAAGTCGAAAGATTAAAAGTAAAACGATTTACTCTGTCGTCTCCGGCAGTCACTGGATCACCGCCCAGAGAGGGGCGGAGCCGAGGGTGCGGTGGCAGAGCCTCGCTTCCCGCCTGCGCTTTCAGTTCTCAATTAGGTCCGATTACAGCTTATAATTACTCATGACCAACGTGCAGTGTCATCACTGCATCCCATACATTGGGCGATCATGTCTGGACGTGGTAAGGGCGGCAAAGGTCTTGGTAAGGGGGGTGCTAAGCGCCACCGCAAAGTGTTGCGCGACAACATCCAGGGCATTACCAAGCCTGCTATTCGGCGCTTGGCCAGACGTGGGGGTGTCAAGCGTATCTCTGGCCTCATTTACGAGGAGACCCGCGGGGTGCTCAAGGTCTTCCTAGAGAACGTGATCCGGGACGCGGTCACCTACACGGAACACGCCAAGCGCAAGACGGTCACCGCCATGGATGTGGTCTACGCGCTCAAGCGCCAGGGGCGCACTCTCTACGGCTTCGGCGGCCAAGTCCTCTTTTTTTTTTTTTTTTTTTTTTTTCTTTTATCTAAAGGCCCTTTTCAGGGCCGCCCACTCTTTCTCAGGAAGAGCTGTACGTGGCTTTCGCAGTGTAGTTGTGTTGCAGTTAGAAATAGTAATTGTGTTTAAATACGAACGCGGTCTCGCCCTTTATTAGTAACTGTAGATCGAACGGCTGGTTCCTTTCAGGACAGGCGTCTCTGAGCCAATCTGTTAGTACAATAAGCAGCGCGTATCTTCGGCCAATGAGCAACGAGCAAGGGCTGTCCGATAGGTGGGACTGAGACTGAAATAAGGAACTCAAGCGAAAAGTCTCTGCACCCCCAGTGGAGGTCGGAAGGATCCGGAGTCCCCAGCTGTTTCACGTGGGAGAGATTCTGCCCGATCCACGTCCCTTGTGAAAGTGTTAACTGCAGGCCATGGTTTCAGCGAGGAGGCAGTTTCTCTCCTGTGTGGAAGTAGCGCCGAGCTCGTTTTTGGTCCTAGGATGGTTAACTATTCGTAGACATCGCGAGAGCCTGCCAGGGTGCTGCCGGCCGCTCTAAGGAATACATACGACACCGCCAGCAAGACTGGGTGTTAATTCTTAGTGTATTTGCCCTGAACAACGTCAGGAGAGATCTGCAGTTACGCCTCACACCCTCGTCCCCCGCCCCCTCCTCCTCCGCTGGGTCGCACGCCCCAGGCCTTCGCTGCCAGTGCCTCTAGAGTTTGAGCCAGATACCGTCCTGAGTGTCGTCACGCCCCACAAAGCCGATGGTCTTGGGTTTGAAGGTACCTCCGCATTGCTGATTTGCATCCTCAGGCTGGGGGCCTTCCCTAAGCGTCTGGCTAAGCAGTTTGTAAAATCCCATTTACTAGACTAGGGCTGTCTGTGTTCTAATTCAGCTCTAGTTTCCTCTGAACCCCGAGGCCTCAGGCAGGGCTTAGCTTTGAGGTTGTAGGGAAGCTCCCTCCTTCGTGGTAACGGTGGATCCCAGGAGGCTGTTTTGCACTTTCCCCCTCGTTCTCTCCCTCCTTCCAGCTCATCTCTTCTTTCCCCTGCCCGCTGTAAATTATAAGGTTTTTTTTAATGAACCTTTCAAAGACTACTTATAAACAATATGGTTATAAAAAGTTGTTTGAAACTATGTCCTCAAATTGATAACCAACTGAATAATCTTGCATCTTTGATTTGCTTGAGAAATGTATTGATGGCTGCTTAAAACAACAACTTTGCTGCCTGAGTACTCTGCTACCATGTCTCTCCCTGACACTGGAGGAGATACTGAAAAGGAGGTTGGAAAAGTGAGATTCTTGAGTTAAGGCAAGAGGTCTGGACTAGAGATAAAACTGTGGGAATCATCAGCATTTAAATGATGAGACTGGGTGAGATTACTAAGAACCAAAACTGTATTGCAGCACACTAATAGTAAATGAATAGAAACCATGTAAATTGTCATCAGAAGGGGCTAAAGTATTATCCATATCCATTAAATGGTTCCTTGGTTCAGGCTGCTATAACAAAAATATCACAGACGGTGGTTTACACAGCAAACATTTATTTCTCACAGTTCTGGAGGCTGGAAGTCCAAGATCAAGGTTCAAGCAGATTCAGACGGGACAGATTCAGACAGATTGAGTGTCTGGTGAGGGCCCAATTCCTGGTTCATAGACTGCTGTCTTCTTGCTGTGTCCTCACATGGCAGAAGAAAGGGGCCAGAGAGCTTTCTGGGGTCTCTTTAATATATAAAGGGTACTAATCACGTTCATGAGTACTCCATCTTCACGGCCTAATCACTGTCCAGGGGCCTCACCTCCTAATATCATCACATTGAGGGTTAGGGTTTCAACATATGAATTTTGGGGGAACATCAACCGTCCATAACAAATGGGATACTGTACGGCCCAACTAACAAATAGGAAAACTGTACTCCAGTATATACTCTCTATAGTACCTTAGGCTCAGTTCTTGGGCCCATTCTCTATTTTTGGTGACGTCATCTAGTCTCACACTCAAATATTCCGTCTTCTGTGAAATAATTTTTGTTTAACAGGACACACCATGGCCTAGCTGTCAGGTCTGCTTGTAGTTACACTAAAGCTTATGACAGTGTCAGCTTCCAACTGCTTCTCATTCTCAATGGTTGTTTGTGCAGGGTGGCCTTCATCACCTCGCTCAACTTTATCAGTTTCCTTCCACCCACCTCAAGCTTCATAATAAAACATATAATCTAAGAAAAATAGTGTTGGAAATATAAATCATCTCCCTGACCTCTCCCCTGATCACCAGACTCATATACCCAACTGCGTATTTGACATATCTACTTAGATTTCCAGTGGGCATCACCAACTTGTCCAAAATAGATATCTTGACACATAAGTACCAAATCTGTTCTTCCTGCAATATTCTCCACCTCAATAAATGGAACTCTATTCTTCCAGTGGCTCAGTTCAGAAACCTTGCATTCCTGTTTGACCTTTCTCTTACAACTGTCATCCAATCCACACAGAGCTATCTTCAAAATCAATCAGGCCACCTTTCTCTACATTCTCTGCGGCTACCCTAGGGCAAGCCACACTCACATTCTGTCCAGACGACCCTAGTGACTCCTAACTCGTCTTTCTGCTTCCACTCGATGACTACAGTTTTTTCTTTACCCAGCAGCAAAAGTGATCCTTTTAAAGGGCATTGTGTCCACCCTTTGCTCCAGACATTTCAGTGGCTTTCCATCTTCTTCATAATAAAAGCCAGTGTCCTTACCAAAGCCTCTAAGGAAGGTGAACAAAAATTCCAGTTTGCCTGAGTTGGGAGACTTTCTGGGAATGCAGGACTTTCAGTGCTAAAACTTGGAAAGTCCCAGGCAAACAGGATGAGTTGGTCACCCTACGCATAAGGCCTCACCTGATCTAACCCCTGGTCACACTCTGACCTCATTCTCTATCACATTTGTCTTCACTGACCTTTTTCCTCCTTCTGGAATGGACCAAGCACGTTCCAGTCTCAGAGACTTTGTACTTGTTTTTCTTTCTTTCTAGAAGTATCTTATCCTGATGTACGGAAGATAAAATTTGACCTCCACCTTCTTAAGGTTTTCTGCTGGGCCTAAGAACTAAATTGACATAAAATAGATTAACAGGAGGAAAACATACAATTTACTTATTTTTTATATATATGTAGACATTGGGCTACATCAATGAGTTTTATGCGACACAGGCACCCTCATAAGGAAATGAAGACTGGAAGAAGCAGTTAGAGTTGAACACTTCCATACTGAGTTAGACAGAGTGGTCAATTGTGAAAATGTGACAAGGCAAGGAGGCTTGGGCTACAGGATTTAATTGTGGAGAAGTGACTAGGAAGATAAGGGTTAGTTTACAAGTTTTGTACAGATTTCTCGGCCTCGACTCCCCATCCCTAGTGATGAGAATGCTACTTTCCTGCTAGTATATGAAGGACACTGTCCATATGGCGACTTTATCTCCTGCTTTCAAGAAGAAAAGAAGAGGTCAGAGCACCCTTCTTGCACCTGCTGTTTTTCAACTGCCTTTAGTTCAAAACAATATTCATGTCAGAGGCCTATTTTGGGGTGGCATGTCCTGCCACCTTTCACTGGATACCTGCACGGCTTCAGAACTCATTTCATTCAGGCCTCTGCTCAAACCACCAACTTATGAAAGAGAAAGGGGTATGCAAAATAATACCCCTTTCTGCTCATTTATTAAATTAGCATATGTAGCCCCACCTGTAACAATATATTTTTAATTTTTGTTTGTTGTTGTCTCTCCCCCAACTAGAATATAATTCCTTGAAAGTGGGGACTTTGTTTTATGCCTGAAGTGTCCCTGGAACTTACAATGGGGCTGACATCTAATAGGTATTCTATGAAGGTGTATTATGTAGAGGAGGAAAAATACTTTTCCTTTTCCCCTTCCAGGTTCTCGACTGAGAACACCCTATAATAAGAAAAACAGATTAAAAGAAGAAAAACAAATTTAATTACGTACATATGTACAGGAGTCTCACAAGATATGAGACTCAAGGAAGTGACCAGAGCAGGAAGCTTTTATCTCTTTTACACAAAGAAACATAAATTTCTGATGAATTGACAAGGCAAAAGGGTGTGGGCTAGGGAGAGTAAAATGAAGAAGTAAGAAGGTTTGTTCATTCAGTCTCCTGGGACGTAAATTCTCTGCCTCTGGTGACAAGGATGTCTCCCTTCCTTCTGGTACAGGGAGGGTACCTTTCACACCGGAGACTTATCAGCCGCTTTATCACCCGCTTTCAGGGAAGAAGAGGGAAGTGAGGGGAGGTCGGAGTGACCTTCCTGCTCCTGCCATTTTCTCAAATTCCTTTGAGCTTAAGATATTTAACACACCAAGGTGCTATATTAGGTCGTAGCGTGTCCTGAACCCCGTCAGCTGAATGAATGCATGCATGAATTTTCTACACAAGTCCCCAGGCGCCCCCCACCCCCACCTGGCACACCAGAGTGCTGCCGTGATTGATTGCCCATCCTCACTTCCTTGACTTGCCACTGCCTGAATCTATCAGCATGACGGTTTTCCTCCAGATCTGAGGAAAGATGTGGAAGCAGCAAATCAGGCATTAGCTTTGTTCTGAACAAGGACTTCATGAGTGTTAGGACTGAATCAAGCTCAGAGGTTTTCACCCAGGGCGGTGATGAGTATGACTGAATGTGTATTATTCTACCTCAAGGCTATGAACTAAAGAAGCCAAGCTGACCATAACACAAGCTATGTTTCTATTGCTATAGCATCCACACCTCCCCTCCCACATAGGTAATCTCTATCCAGGCACCTCTCTACATATATTCTGGGTGGAGGACAGGGAATTGTCTCTGATTGGCTCACTGATGGACCCGAATGCCTAGACAGTATCTGGCACATTACATGAGGTCAAAAAATCTCTCTCGAAGGAACACCAGCTAAGGAGGACATAAAATGACCATTCTCCCAACCAGGCCCATTTTCGCTCCTCTGGCCATCCAGGCTGCAGCTGTGAATTCTCCTCAGTAAAATAAGCTAAGCTAGGAATTTTTATCATCCCCCAAGAAATCGTGGAGAACAGTTATCAGGTGGAAAATGGAACCAAAAAAACTAGGAGAGACGCTGGCTGAAGCTAACATACTGAGGCTGAAATCAGTCCTCTAAAAAAATGATACCAAAAAGAACCCAGTGACAGAGGCATTTGTGAATATCCCTTTAGATGAGAATAAGCTGTTTCTCTATTAGCCAATTTCGAGTGAAATCACATCCCTTCTCCAGCTGAGTTCTGAAGTCTAACATACTACTGGAATACATAATTGGACCAGGGATACCCTTGCTTAAAAACCTTCGGTGGCTGCAACGGCTGACTAGATCAAGCCCATACTTCCAAGTTGAGCAGGAGAGGCCCTTCGCGGACCAACCGTGCCTCCCCTACCAACCTCATCTCCTTCCGCCCTGCCTCCTATACACATATATAAAACAGCTTTATTGAGATACAGTTTACATACCATAAAATTCACCCACTTTGTGTACAACTCAATGAATTTTAGTATATTTCCTTAATTGTACAACCATCGCCACAATCTATCTAACGAACATTTCCATCACTCTTATTTTCATGCTTCTATGAAGGAAGGAAAATAAGTACGGCTACCTGCTGAGGGCTGTGTTGACACTGGAAGGGAGGTGCGTTCTCTCCATAAACCAGATTTTAATTTCCTTTGAATCCAGTGCCCTGGGTTTTCTGGCAGTCTGAATCGGGTTTCCTCCTCTGCCCACCATTTTCAGGGATTGTTTTTTCAATCAAGACGAATCCATTAGCGGCAATAATTTTAGTACTGTTCTCAGGGCACGATCGAGGGACATTTAGATGTCTCTATTTCATAATCCATAAAAAGACAAATTTTAAAAATTCTCTAAACCAGTGCTTGGGCGAGAAACGCCCGCTTTCCCATCCCCCAATCTGGCTCGCCGCAGGGAACCACATGAGATCATCAGTTCTGATTGGTTGATAACCACGGATGGGGCTTGCTGATTGGGCAGTGTTTCTCTTTGTTCCTGAAAACCCAGGCAAGTTTCGTACTATACTTGGTTCTTTTCTCTTTTTCTTTCAAGTTAGAATATCATCCCTCGCCTACCCGTATCGAATGAATAAAGGAAAGTGAGAAAATACCCCATCGACCTGAAGGAGTTACGGGTATGTACAAATATGGTACTAAATTTTGCTTTCTGTTCCCAGAATCTCATAGTTCAGGATTTTCTCAATATTGTTCATTTAATTTCAGCTTTGAACTGTAAACTAAAGTCCTTGACAAATGATCAGGACAGCTCTTTTTTTGAATAGGTGGGTGGCCCTGAAAAGGGCCTTTGTTGAGAAGGGTAAGGTCCTGATGGAGAAATGAGGAAGCTTAGCCGCCAAAGCCGTAGAGAGTGCGCCCCTGGCGCTTGAGCGCGTAAACCACGTCCATAGCGGTGACAGTCTTGCGCTTGGCGTGCTCGGTGTAAGTGACGGCGTCACGGATCACATTCTCCAGGAACACCTTTAGCACACCACGCGTCTCTTCGTAGATGAGGCCAGAGATGCGCTTGACGCCCCCGCGGCGGGCCAGGCGCCGGATGGCGGGCTTGGTGATGCCCTGGATGTTGTCCCGCAGCACCTTACGGTGGCGCTTGGCGCCTCCCTTACCCAAACCCTTCCCGCCCTTGCCGCGTCCGGACATGATTATCCCAGAAGCGAACCAAAGGTAAGTGACAAAGAAGAGAGAGCCGATCCTTATATAAACACTCCTCCCCGCCCCCAGCGGATATAGAGAATTGAAAGCGCGCAGGCGGGAGATGTGACGACAACAGTCTCCTCCCCTAATCCCTCCTCCAATCCCCGGGAACTCGCGGGGGGAGGAACAGGGCCCAGCTTGACCATAGGTCTTTGCTTCCTTCATTGGCTTGAAGTAAACTCCTGTTGTGACTCCAAAAATGTTCTAAATAGGAGAGGAAAAAAAAAGCAAAAACATAGTTTCACAATAATAAATTTTGATACTCTTAAAAATATCAGGATCAGGGGCCGGCACGGTGGCCGAGTGTTTAAATTAGCGCGCTCCGCTTCAGTGACCCGGGTTCGCCGGTTCAGACCCTGGGGGCGGACATGGCACCGCTCATCAAGCCATGCTGTGGCGGCATCCCACAGAGAAGTAGCATTCTGGTTCTTACAACTAGGATACACAACTATGTGCTTGGAGAAAAAAAGAGAGATTGGCAACAGACGTTAGCTCAGGGCCAATCTTAAAAACTTCAAAATCGAAGAAAAGATAAGTAGTTCATAGTTAACGACAAGTTAGGGTTTTAAGATATTTTACTTTTTATCCACATCTGATCATGTTTTGATAGAGCTCCTTATACTATCCCTGTTCATCAGCTTTACAACTGATGCTCAAAAAGCCGTATTATAAAAGCTCTTCAAAAGCAACTTCTCTCCCGTTTTCTGAAAGCTCACTGGATCTATTAGGACCTGCTCATTTGTAAAGAGGCAGTTCGCATATGCAGGAATCAGACAAAAGTAAACCGCCATAATCCGGCTGTCTCGGAGGGATATGGCTAGTTACATTAAACCACTGTAGATAACGGGGGTTTATTTACAGCCACTTTATTTGAAAAGTTGGGTGGCTCTGAAAAGAGCCTTTGGTTAAACTGGGGTTGCTGAGAAGACCGGCAGTGTAATTACGCCCTCTCCCCGCGGATGCGGCGCGCGAGCTGGATGTCCTTGGGCATGATGGTGACGCGCTTGGCGTGGATGGCGCACAGGTTGGTGTCCTCGAAGAGCCCCACCAGGTAGGCCTCACACGCCTCCTGCAGCGCCATCACGGCCGAGCTCTGGAAGCGCAGGTCGGTCTTGAAGTCCTGCGCGATCTCGCGCACCAGGCGCTGGAAGGGCAGCTTGCGGATCAGCAGCTCGGTGGACTTCTGGTAGCGGCGGATCTCGCGCAGGGCCACCGTGCCGGGCCGGTAGCGGTGGGGCTTCTTCACGCCGCCCGTGGCCGGCGCGCTCTTGCGGGCCGCCTTGGTGGCCAGCTGCTTACGGGGCGCCTTACCGCCGGTGGACTTACGAGCAGTTTGCTTAGTGCGAGCCATGACAAGCAATACGAACAAAAGCAACTACCGAACACAAGGGAAACACATCGTCCACGTTCATCGCTAGTATTTATAGTACGTGAGGTGTGGTGATTGGATGAGAAAAATATTTATCACGCTGCGGCATCTGATTGGCTTACCTTTAAAACCTCCAACAACCGTGCAGTTTCATTGGCCACTAGGTTCTATCTTCGGCCGTTTTCAAATTTCTCTTTTGTTCCCTTCTTCCACATCTGAATGCAATGCTTTCTGCGTTGCTTTTTCATAAAACTAAAGACGTTTACTTCATTGATACTGTAGTTCTCCAACTATATATATTTCTTTAGTTCTTGGGGGAAAGAAATTTAAGGAATATTGCCCCCAATATTTTACACTCCTTATCGATAATCCGACATCGGGTTACAAATTTCCGAAATCTTTTGCAAAAATGAGATCCTTTTGTAATGCTTAAATTGACTGAAGAATTTCTTTGAAAACTATAAGACACACTTTCAAGCATAGTAAAATTGAGCTAGCTTTTGCAGTAATATTTCTTGTTAGGCATCCTTTTCTTAAAAGTTCATGCTCTGACTTCTACACATGGATCTGTCTGAAATGTATGTTTCCCAAAGCCTAGAGTACATTCGGCCTGCAAAATGGAAATGACTGCGAAGTCCTCCCGCACCGCCGCTGGGAACACAAAGTACGCCAGCCCCAGCAGCTCAGAGCAGTTGCTTTGGCGCAACAGGCGATGGACTCCGCCCAATAACTAGATTCCGACAGGTAAAGAGGGTAATTTATCGTTGCTAAAATCTGATTTTATAACTTTTTTAAAAACTTCAAGCTTAAAAAGAGCGAACGTGACTCCTTTCATATTGAGGAGGTAGCCCAGATCCTACCTTTTGATTGGTTGAGTCCATTTTACTGAGCAGCCATTAAGAAAGCCGATCTAGCATCCTTCATTTGCGTAGAGTTTTTATCTTATCTGAGGCCTGTTTAAATCAATGGACACACAGGAGGCAGAAACCATTATTTTAACGAAAAACTCCAGTATCCAGGATTTCCGTTTAAAAAACTGCGATTGATTAGAAGCCTCCTTTATTACTCTAAGCAAAGTTTATGTCTTTCAAAAAATGTTCACTTACAAAACATTCTAGTCTTGGAGGAAGATCGTGTGTGTTATAGACTGTCCTTCAAACTGAGAAGCATAGTTCCTATTGTTCTTTTCCAAATTCTTAGAAATTACGTGATGCCTTTTGAAAACATAGACAAAAAAATGGGAAATAGGAAAGGGTGGTCGACAAAATGGAGGAAGTGTGCGTCTGGGACCATTACGTTATTGGCCGCAAGCTGGTAACATAGTCCTTCGTTGTTTGAGGGAAACCCGAGAAGCTCGGGTTACCTAGGTCCGTGCGGACTTGTTTGAAAACCGCAGTGGCGCGCGCGGGAATGAGACGTCACTGCCTCATTCTCCCTGCAGCTAGGCGATTGCCTAGAGCAGAGTTGAGCGGGGATGTTGGTCACCCGGAACAGGGCTGTGAGAAGGCCGTTTTATTCTCACTAGTCTCGCTCGCAATGTGAAATCGTTTTGGCATCGTTGATGCTTTTAAGTGCTGTTTACAGCCACAAATAAAGGAAGATTGCCCTAAATGTTCCCCTGGGGCTGTGCCTTCTCGCTTTCATGCTAAGGCAACGAAACCCACAGCACAATACCTGTCGGGGAACCATTTAGTCCAGCCGGCGCTTATTAGTGCCCGTCGTTTGCTAGGTTTTAAGCCATATAAATGTTTGTTGAATGCAATACGCTGACAGGAACACAGGTCACAAGCGGTAGCGCCTGTTTCGGGTATGTTGTATTGTAAGAATGAAAAGGTATCAAAGATTTATGAAGTGCAGTCGTCTAGAAATAAGGTGAATTACACAAATTGTTTGCATATTAAGTTTTCCACACGTGGAGCTTCAATGGTAATTGCGGTGTTAGCGAGTTCCAGTTTTTTCTGTAATTCTTTGATCAATGTATCTAAAAGGTCTTCACGAGATAGATCGCTCTTTAGCGTTTCTAGTAAAGGCAATAACATTGATGAGCTGTCCCAAGCCTGCAGACAAGGCCTTACACCCCCTTGCCTTCCTTTCTTCCCAGCCACTCAAAACACAATCTTTTACATTTATTGCAAATTAGAAACGAATGTCCCTGACAAATGTTCCTCTAGGTGAAGTTTCAGGTGAAACTCCCTGGATTCTTACATGATTGCCTCATTTACAAACAGCTCTTTCTCGCTAATCCTTCCCTGCCAAGTATTTCTGTCTTTACGAAGCGAGTGGGGCTGCTGTCTGAGGGCCTTAGCGCGCGCTGCAGGGCAGCGTGACAGCAGGCCCCAGCCGCCCGCCGTTCCCTTCTGAGACAGGGCGAGCAGGGCAGCGGGCCAGGGGGCGCCAGGGTGCGAGCGGCGGGCGCCAGCGCGCACCAATCACAGCACGGCCCCGCCCTATAAATATGCTCGCGCCAGGCTTTCTGGCGTCCTTCGGCTTTGTCGGGTGCTGGTGGCTTGCTTGGTCTTTTCCTGGTCTCGCCATGTCTGAGGTTGCGCCGCCCGTTCCGGCTGCTGTTGCTCCTCCCGAGAAGCCTTCAGCGGGCAAGAAAGCGAAGAAGCCTGTGAAGGCTGCTGGTGCTGCCAAGAAAAAGCCTTCGGGTCCTTCTGTGTCAGAGCTGATTGTGCTGACCGTTTCCTCCTCTAAGGAGCGCAGCGGCGTGTCCCTAGCAGCGCTTAAGAAGTCGCTGGCGGCTGCTGGCTACGATGTGGAGAAGAACAACAGCCGCATCAAGCTGGGCCTCAAGAGCCTGGTGAGCAGAGGTACCCTGCTGCAGACCAAGGGCACCGGCGCCTCAGGCTCTTTCAAGCTCAACAAGAAAGCGGCCTCTGGAGAGGTTAAGCCCAGCATCGCAAAGGTGCCAGCGAAAACCAGAGTAACGAGTGCTGCTAAGAAACCCAGGAAGGCCACAGGAGCTGCTGCTAAAAAAGGTGTCAAGACCCCGAAAAAGGCCAAGAAGCCTGTGGTGACAAAGAAGTCTTCTAAGAGTCCCAAGAAGCCCAAGGTTGTGAAGGCTAAGAAAGTAGTAAAGAGCCCTGCCAAAGCTAAGGCTGTGAAACCCAAAGCGGCCAAGGCAAAGGTGACGAAGCCGAAGACGGCCTCTAAACCCAAGAAGGCAGCCCCCAAGAAAAAGTAAAAGTTCCGGTTGGAAGTTTCTTCCAGTAACCCAACGGCTCTTTTAAGAGCCACCAACATATTTCAGGGAAAGAGCTTTATTACGCAGGTCTGGGTCATTGTAAGTTGAAGCTCAAGTCTCATGCAAGTGCAGGTTCTTCCCTAAGTTACTACTCCATGCTTTACGTCAGAACCGCTTTTGATGTTTAGTAGGTTCTCACTGGGGTCCCAAACTCAGAGTTGTTGACAATTCTAGGTGGCTTCAAAGGCAGCCAAGTTGGGGAGCCACTTTCGCAGACCTATGTTTTACCTGGAGTCTACAACTGTACCTGGGCAGGGTTTCTGGGCTTCCCCTGAAATCTCACACTGCAAACTAAGTTATCAGTGGCAACCAGCTTGAGCTGAGATTCAACTCGTGCCCCAGCCGAAATTGAGTGGCCGTGAGAAATGCTTTTGGGTGATCAGTGAAACCTATGGCTTAACCACGCCCCCTGCAAATCTGGCGGGCAAATTGTCCTTGGGAATGGCGGTGATTCACTCCAGATTATTGTCCTCGAGAGCCCCACCAGGTAGGCTTAGCACGTCTCCTTCAGCGCGGTCATGGCCCAGCTCTGACGGTGCAGGTCGCTCTTGCCTGCGCGGCGCCTTACCCTGGGTTGATTTGCGGGCTGTTCTCTAGTTTCTGGCCAAGGTCAGGACAAAGGAACTTGGTTGCAATGGAGTATTAGCGCTAAAGCCCGAAAGCATTTACCCGGTGTCTCTGTTTGTAGGACTAGAACTGCCTTGATTGGATAATATTTGAAAATCCCACTCTGTACCTAACTAGATCGTATTTCATCTCGTGCAAGGTTTTCAGCGCTGGCGGCCCTACATCACACTAAGTCCTTGGGGACACTTTCGCAGAACTGCCCCTTTAAGCTTTTGAAATTTTAATTCGGGGTTTCAGATTCTAATAACGTTTTTTTAATCATCCGAATATATGAAGAACCAGCTTTACTTACTTTTACTTAACGCAGCTTAATTCGTTGTAAAACTGTATTTTTACACGTGCGCATCAAATTCTTTAATAACTAATTGTTCTATTTTTTAATGATATTTCCTTTTTTCCGTTGGTTTTCTTGGCTCCCTTCATCCCCTAACGTCTGCCATACAGCCTCTTCACATCCCTACTCCCGCTCCCTCAAACTGGTATGTAGCTATTCATGTTTTCTTTTGAATTCAGTCTTTTACATACGCCTATCCATACTCGTGCGTGATTATTTTGTTTTTCGGTTAGGTTTGTTATTATTTACAAAGTGATGATAATATATTCACTTCTCTGCATCTTGCTGTTTTAACAAAACCTGTCGAAATTCCTTTCAAGTCAAATCATCTTTTTTTAAATGTTCTTCACGTGGAGTAGCATAGTTTGTTCACAGATTTCCTAGGGATAAGCGTTGACGTTGTTTCCATTTACCGCTGCTGACCATGGTGCAATAAATAAGAGTTCCAACGCTGAAATTGATCGAGTGTATTTTAAATTTCAGCTGGTGCTGACATATTCTGAAAATAGGTTCCCCTCCTCCATTCCAACCATCAAAGTGTGGTCTCATTAATTTCTGCTGGTCAAAATTATTTCATATTGTCACTTTCATTTGCATTGGCCACTAGTGCATCCTTTCTTTAGGTTGTTTGCATATGCTCTTCAGAGAATTCCTGCTTATATCTCTTTGCTCATTTATTGATTGAGCAATTTGTCTTTTTCTTGTCCCATTGTGCTTTTTTATATAATAAAGAAATGAACATTGTCTTTATCACCTGTGTTGCAGAGTTTTCTATTTTTTGCTTTTTTCTCCATATTTTCCTTCTTTATCATGTATTTTCCATTTACATGTATTATATAAAATTTATTAGATACATACAGAATTTTGAATGTTAAATAGTTTAATGTATCTTTTCTTTATAGCTTCCAGATTTCCACTTGTGGTTAAGAAACTGAACCCCACGCCTCCGTTATTCATTCAACCTTTTAGGTTTTCTTCTAAAAAATTTTGCTTCTTAACAATTTTTAGTCTCTAATGCATCTAGAATTTATTTTATGTAGTTAAAGACAGAATCTGAGTTTAATTCTCACAGATAGATGGCCAGTTGTTCTAGCACCATTTATTAAATAATCCACCCATTTCTCCCACTGAACTCATATATCATCTTTGCTATTTATTAAATTGTTATATAATGGAATCTATTTCTGTATTCTTATTCTTTTCCACTGATCTCTCCGTATAAGTCATGTACCTTTCTTAATTCTATTCTTAATCAATTTCTATGCTTGTTTCTGTTGTGAATGGAATGCTCTTCTCATTTCCTTTTTTTAGGTCTTCCTGCTAGGAAGAAAGAAATGTAATGATGTATTATATCCAGTGAATTTACCAGTTTCTCTAATTCTACTCTCCTTTCTTTCTGCTTAAAAACTAGAGCCCCTTGAGTTTTTCCTAGTCATCAGCAAAATAATTTCCTTTGTTTTCCTCAATGTGAATACCAAGCATTTCATTTTCTTTTTTTCACTGCATTTGCTAAGAATTTCCAAAGTAAAATTGAACGATAATTTTATCAGACATCCCTTTTTTAGTTCTTGGTTTTAATTAACATGGTATTAGGTGTTTGTTCTTTAGGATAATATTTGTTCCTAGTTTTTGGTATCTCCATTACATTTAAATGGTTACTTTCAATTCCTATATCACTTTTTAAAAAACTTTTTGAATGCTAGATTTCCCTCATGTGTTAATATAATCATATGATCTTTCTCTTTTAATTTGTTTACTGCTTTTTAGATGTTAAGCCCTCAAACTCATGTGGCTGAAGAGAATGAACTAGAAGAATGAGATGTGTTTTTCTAAGATAGTCATGTGTAAGAGAGAAGCAAGTGTGCTGCGGTGGATCTGGGGAAGGATGAATCAGGAATTCTGTTGTGAAGTTTTGCAGTTTCTATGAGATTACCAAATGGACGAGGGAGTAATCCACTGGGTTCAAATGCTGCTGATAGAGTGAAGTGAGTAGAAACCTGAAAATGGTCCCCTGGCTTAGCAGTATGAAGATTACTGGTAGCTTTGACAAGAGTAGTTTTGGGGAGGAAGGAGTTGAATTGAGGTAGAGCTATAAATTAGGAAGTCACTGGTATACAGATGTCATTTAAAGCCAGGAGACTGAGTCAGGTCACCAAGGGGTGACTGAGGTAGAGAAGAATATGAAGGGGAAAGAACTGAATCCTGAGGCATCCAACATCAAGGGCAGGGGATATCTGGCCCTGCCCATTTATCATAGATAAATCTGGATAATTATTAGACCTCTTTGTGCTTCCATTTACTTATTTAAAGGTAAAGGGGTTGGATTAGAGAAGTGTTTTTCATGGCCTGTTAGGAATAGAATAGACTAGAACATATTAGAGTATGCCATATTGTAAAGGAGAGGAGGGCTTCCTGGAGTTTAGGTTTCATGCACACACATTGTTGGGCATATGTATGCATGTTCTAGGTCGTGAAGACCATGTTTCTTATTGGGGTCACAGTCAAAGAAGCCTGAAAAACAGAGGTCAAGATGCTCCCTGTGGTCTTTTACAATTCCAAGAGTCTATTGTTTTAATAGATGTTCTGACCACAGAATTATATTAGATCTAACATCTATTTGAAAGTGTGAGAGACTTGAAATCACGATCTCAGAGATCTTCCTGAGACAAGCAGGTAACAGTAGTGACACAAACTCCGTTCTTTTTTTTCAGTTCAGGTAACATTGGTTTATAACACCATATAGGTTTCAGGCATCGAACATTATAATTCAACACCTGTATTTACTAGCATGTTCACCACCAAAAGTCTAGATTCTGTTCTTTACTAATTGTTCTGATTGTTCCTGCTAGAGGGGCTTTTTGAAAAGAAAGAAAAATGGGAGGAGCAGAGAAAAACACAGGTTATGTGACTGCCAGGACTGATTGAAGATTAGTGGGGCCTCCTTAAAAAATTACAGTCTACAAATAATGGTTTTGCTAAGTAAATTGTACAATAATCACACCTAGATGGGAAAAAGAGATGAAGCAGGAAATCTCTCATTTTAATGCTACGGGTTTTATTGTGTCCTATGTGGCCAAAGTAAAAAAGAGGAATATTGGGGGAGGGGAGGGGAATTTGTTCTTTTCTTTATACCATAATGTATTTTTCAGATCTTTGACAACGTGCACATGTAAATCTGAACTAGAAAAAAAATATATTATTCTGCATATAGAAACAGAATCAGATTAAAATAGGAGTATTAATTACTAAATAGTTGTTTAGTAAAACGGCCTAGCAAGTACCCATAGTATTCCATTGTGTGTATGCTCTATAGCTGGTGTCACCAGTCACTTATTGCTGGATTTTTAAAAATTTAACAAAAATTACATAGTCATTTTCAACTATCTCAGAATATGTTCCCAGAAGTGGGATTTCTAAATCAAAGGGTAAAAAGTAACATGATAAATTTTAGGTTGTGGTAAAATTATAATAATGTTATCTTAAAAACAAATACAAATACCTAAAGACAAAAATGTCACTAGACCTCAACCATTATTGGTCACATCTTTTTAATTTTACTTTATTTTTTAATAAACAATGATTCAAAAGTCACAACTATATGAAAAGATATACACTGAGAATTCAAGTCCCACACCACTGTCCCATCCACACAGTTCCTCTTCCAGTGTTTCTTTGTGCAAATAGAAACAAAAAATATATATACTCTTCTTTTTCACCTTTTCACAGGATAGTGTGTACACGTTTCTCTACCACTGTTCACTAAGCAGCCTGTCCTGGAGCTGTGTCTGTAACAGGACACAGAGGTCTTCCTCATTTCTCTCCACAAGTACATGATGGACATTGTGTGACAAAAATTTATTCCAGTTCCAGAAGCTCTATATATATTAGAGAGATTAGTCCTTTGTAATATGAATTGCAAAATGTGTTTTTTTCCTATAGCCATTTGTCTTTTAACTTTGCTTATGATAAATTTTGCTATGCAAACTTTTTATTTATGTTTTTATTGAGGTAACATTGGTTTATAACTTTATATGAATGTCAGGTGTACATCATTAGTATTTTGATTTCTGTGTAGACTGGATCATGTTCACCACGCCAAGTGTAATAACCATCCATCAGGGTACACATGTGCCCTTTTACTCCTTTCGCCCTCCTACCTGCTTCCCCTCTGGTAACCACCAATCTATTCTCTGTATCTGTGTTTGGTGGTGGTTGTTTTTATTTTTATGTAATTGTGAATTTATCAATGTTTCCTTTCATAGCCTTTGGATTTTGAGTAATAATTAGAAAGGGGTTTCCCACTTCAACAATCAAAGGAATTCAGCTGTATTTTCTTTGAGTACTTCTGGGTTTTTATTTTTTGACATTTAAATCTTTGACCTATTTGGAGTTTATCTTGGTATATGGTGTTTTGCAAATGGCCATCTTTACTTCCAATGATGAAAAATGTTTTCTGGGGGCCGGCCCCGTGGCACAGTGATTAAGTTTGCGCGCCCCGTTTCGGCGGCTGGGGCTTCACTGGTTCGGATCCTGGGCGCAGACGTGGCACCGCTCATCAGGCCACCCTGAGGCAGCTCCCACTTGCCACAACTAGAAAGACCCACAACTAAAAAGATATACAACTATGTGCTGGGGGCGTTGGGGGAGAAAAAGCAGGGAAAAAAAAGAAAGAAAGGTTTTCTTTATTGTGTATGTACAAAATTCTTACGACTTGTCAATTTGTGGACTTTGCTATCCTGTTGTATCAGTCTTTCTATTCAAGAAGTCTTTCTATTTCTGTCTATTCAAGCACTAGTACCACAGTTGTTGTTTTTTCCGATGATTGGCGCCTGAGTTAACAACTGTTGCCAATCTCCTTTCTTCTTCTTCTTCTTCTCCCCAAATCCCGCCAGTACATAGTTGTAGATTCTAGTTGTGAGTGCCTCTGATTGCGCTATATGGGACGCTGCCTCAGCGTGACCTGATGAGCAGTGCCATGTCCACGCCCAGGACCCAAACCCGAGAAACCCTGGACTGCCCAAGCAGAGCATGTGAACTCACTCGGCCATGGGGCCAGCCTCACCACATTGTTTTGACTGAGGATTGATGATCCTTTATAGAATATGATAAAGATCATCCACCCTTCCTGTTCTTATTTTTCAATTTTAGGGCAATCATAGGGCAATTCCAGCTTTGCAAAGAATTGTAGAATGCTTAGAGCTAGAGAAGCATTGAAAGTCATTTAGTTTCTGTTTTCATCAGGCAAAATTCTGTAGAGACTGTCCTGCTCTCTGAACTCTGAACTCTCAGCATCTCCTATCAGCTATTAAAGGCCAATAATATCTTAAGGGCAGTATGCTTTTACCTTAAATCTATGCTGAGCCATGGTCAATGCAAACCAGTGGGAAGGAAATTGGAAAAAGTTTTATGATCTAAGAATCAGTGGGTACTCTCTGAATTAATTTATCACTCCCTCCTCCAAACTCTCTGGAGGGTCTTGGTGCTTCCCTCTCCACATGGGAACTCCTAACTACAAAGGAAATAGAAAGGAGGCAGATCAAGTATTCTCATTCTGCTGCCTAGGAACAAGACAAAATAGGTTTGATTAAATAGCCACTCTCTGCCACACTTCTGTATGTTTCTGTTTTTTAAAGGATCCTTCACTTATTTGTTGGCTCTTCAGAGAGAGTGCAAGGTTCAAGTGTGCAAGTCTAGACCTTGCCCCTAAGGAACCCAGCAGTGTTCTGCTTCTCTAAAATAAGGACCAAAGGTGTGTGAGAAGTGACCCATAAGTCTGCACTATCACGTGTCCCACAATGGGAAGAAAGGCTACTTTTTTTTCATTGGAATTAGGATTAGGTCAATGGCGGTAGCAACTCCAAAAAAATCTGGTGGGTTGATTTCATCCTTTTACTTATAAAGCTGTTATTATGCTACATGATCTTCAGTTGTGCACTAAATATATATTCGGTATTTGAATATTGATAAACGAAAAACAAAAATGAGTAGCAGTTAAGCAACCCATAAACCTACCCATAAGCAAATTGGAGATTTGAAAATTTACTCTGGATGCTTAACTCTTCCTCATTGAAAACACTTTCCTTAGTAGAAGATACCAACATATTTTAAACTTTTTTTAAAATTGGGAAACATAACATATAAAAAAATCATAACAAAACAGAAATGTAAAGTTCAACGAATGATCACAACGTGAACACCACTGCAACCATCACACAAGTCAAGAAACAGAACCTCAGCCAACTCTCCCAGTCTCCTCATATTTGCTTCCAATCAGTAACTCCTCCATCTTCCCTAAATGTAACCACTATCCTGATTTCTAACACTACAATTTAGTTTGCCTGGTTTTGAAGCTTATATAAAATGGGAATCAAACAATATATAGTCTTTTATGCCTGGTGTTTTTCACTCAAAACATGAGGTTTGACAGATTCACCTGTGTTTCTGTGTATAATTGATTCATTAATTTTTATTGTACAATAGTCCTTTTTATGAATGTACCACAATTTAGGTATCTATTCCACTGTTGATGGACATTTGTTTCTCTTTTTTAGCGATTACGAACAATGCCATGAACGTACCTGTGCATGTGTTTGGGTAGCTATGCGAACACATATCTGTTTTTTGTACACCTAGGAGTAGACTCACTGGATCAAATGCTAAACTCTTTCTGAAAGTAGTTGTAGCAACTTACATGCAATGGAATGAAAATTAAGACTATAGTAATAAACAGATGGAGATGAACCTCAGAAACCTAATAGTAAAATCTAGATGAGAATTCCTGTTGTTCTACGTCATTTCCAATTGTTTTTTAGTCTTTCTTAATTGTAGTGGCAGATGTGCAGTGGTATCTCATTGTGGTTTGTTTTGCATCTCTTGCCCATTTTTCTGTTGCATTGTGTATCTGCTTAGGCTGCCGTAACAAAATATCATAGCTTGGGTGGCTTAAACAACAGAGATTTATTTTTTCACAGATCCAGAGGCTAGAAGTCCCAAATCAAAGTGCTGACAGATTTGGTTTCTGATGAGAGCTCTCTTCTTGTCTTGCCGATGGCCGCCTTCTCACTGTGTCCTCATGTACACTCTTCTTTGTGCATCTGGGGAGACAGAGTGGGAGGAATCTGGTGTCTTCCACCTCTTATAAGGACACCAGCACTATCAGATTAGGGCCCTACCCATATGACCTCATTTAACCTTAATAACCTCCCAAAGGGCCTATATCTCCAAATACAATCACATTGCAGGTTAGGGTTCCAACATATGAATTTCAAGAAGAACACAATTCAGTCTGTAACAGGTTATTTTTGGGTTTTCACTGGTTTAAAATAGTTGTTTTTCTCTAATTCTGGGCACAAGCTCTTTGTCCATATATGTGTTGCAGGCATCTCCTCCTACTCTGTGACTTGTCCTTTTACTCTTTCAAGGATATCTTGATGAATAAAAGTTCATTTAATTTACTTCAACTAATTATACTGTTTCTTTATATTAGAGCTTTTTTTATGTCTTTTAAGAAATCATCCTCTATCTCAAGGGCATGAAGATCTTATTATATTCTTATGAAGTTAGAGGAACAGTACATAGTCCCCAAGACTGCCCTCACTTCTGACACCAATTGCAAATTTGGAGGCTTCCCAACTACCCTTAGGGTCAGTCATTTATTGAAGGACTCATAGAACTTTCAATGCACATTGCAACTTTGGAAGATAATAGAGCATATTTACACATGAAGACCAGGAGCCCCAAAGTTCCCTGAGAGAAGGAAATAACCACCATCTAGAGTGTTAAGAGCTTGAGACTAAGGAGAACATGGGAAGCAGTTAGTCTATGATCTTACTTTAACACGTGGGAAATTGTATCTTCACTTTAGCACATCCTCGTGGAGAGGAAGGTACACACAGAACAGGGTGGAAGTCTCCCTGAATGTCCTTGAGAGCTTTAGCCTGCTCTCAGGGAGGCCTCCTGGGTTCACATCCAGATGTGGTGCAGCTCCTTGCCTAAAAGCTTTGTTCTATCAATCAAGAAGGGCCTCCTTCCCCAGAACACAAAGACCTCCTTAACACAGGACTTTAGATACCTGAAGGGCACCTCTTACGGCAGTGAGACTTCCAAGGAGTGTTCTTTCTCCTATTCCCAACGCCTGGCACCAGGAGCACAGCTGCCCCTTGGCAGCTTTCAAGCCTGAGGCCTTCACTGGAATTGGAGACCAAGACCATGACTTGGGTGTCCAGCTGCACGCTGGCCTCAGCACTTGAATCTGAAAACCATCCAGGCTGGGAGCTTTCACACCGTAACACGCCCCCCACCCCAAAAAACAATCACAAATATTGTTTGATGTCACGTATTTTTGTTCTCATCTGAAATCTCTTCTCTCCTTTTCTTTAAAATCCAAAGAACTGCACATCTTTCAAGGCCCTGAACAAGTTTCATAAACATTTACTGAACCCACAGCTTATAAAACCTGTTGAATACTTTGCTATATGTTGTCATTCATTATTCACCAATTATTTATTGATCAACATTGTTTTCTTAGTGTTGGGATCATTGATCTATATTACACGTTTCTTTGGCTACATTCATTGATAGTTCAGAAGCACACATCCACAATTTAGCTGTGGAGTGAATGGGTTGAGTGAGGCAGAACTGGAGGCAAGAAAAAGTCACAGTGATGCCAGGAAAGATGATATATGATTAGAGCAGGAGGGTAGCAGTGAAGTTAGAAATAGATGGGTTTAAGAGATCATTAGGAGGTAGAATCAACAGCTTAGATGTGAGGATGAGAAGGGTGGCACAGTCAAGGATAATACCATGGTTTTAACTGGAGCAAGCAGGTGATCGGAACATTCCTTCATGAAGAATGGGAACACTGAAAGAGCAGCTGATATGGAGAGCAGGGATGGTGTCAGATCATATGTTGAATGTGATTTCCTATAGAGCGAAAAGAGTAGATGGCCTGTGACAGACCCTGAGATGTCCAATATACATGGCACAGGTAGGTCTAAGGGTGTGTCGGTCTGCTGAAATTCACCATAAAGAATTTTATGTAAATGGTTGTTAATCAGTTATAAAGGACAAAAAAGGCAAAAGGGGGCCTGAAGTATCACAAAGATAGTAACAGTGGGAAGCAGCTACCACCTCTAGGGTTGAGAGAACAAAGAGAAGATTCTTTGAAAAGACTTCCAGAACTAGGACCCAAACCTCTGAGGAGCAGATGCTGGACCACTGGTGTTGGTAAGTCTGTAGAGGCACCATCAGGCAGACTTTAGGAGCACAGGTTTACAGATTGGAGCTGAGTACTGTTAATGGATTCAACTCTTGCTGCCAAGGGGAAGAACACTTGCTGTGGTGATGTCACAAACAAGAAAGTAAACAGGTAGTAAATGGGAAGTGCTATCTCCCCCTTCCAGCCCTCCAGTGTCTCCTCTTGGCAGGGACTAGCGGGAGGCTGCTGACAAAGCAGATGTGTGCTGTGCAGAGTCCTAGCTCCAGCATCACTCTGCAGAGGACAGAAGAGACCAGATCTTCATCCCCAGCACAGGGTGCTCTCAGACTGCAACTGTTGCTGGTCTCAGGCTGCCTCATCATCCCTTGTGGTTCCCTTTAGCCCTGTCCGTACCTTTGTAAATAGTCCTTTCATTATATTCTTTCCAGTTAAACCTTTTGCTTTAACTTTTTCCTGTTGGAATCCTAATTTGGCCCTCCTCCAGTTTATAGGACAATATTTCCTTTAGAAATGCTGTTAAACTCTCAATTAAAAAAAAAGGGAACTTATCTTAGGGAAAGAAACTATCACTGTTTGCAGGAGCTCACCTTTCCACGGTACAGGATAGATTAAAACCCCTTTGTGCATATTCAGTACATGCTGCTTGTTTTCATCTCTATCCTCTCTGAGTTTCCAGGCAGTTTCCCTCCATCTCAGCAACCCCCTTTCTCCAGCCCACTATTGTTTCTCATCCTCTATCTCCACTAATAAATCAGAGGCCTTCCCAGTTGCACCCAGCGCACCTAGAGTCTACTCCAGGATGTATACTGAGAATGATTTTAAAAGGTAAAACTCAGAATGAGACTTGCAGCTAACAGGAGCCTTCCTAGAGACAATGAGCTGATACGTCTAGACTACAAGTGAACCAGGGGTGACACTCCAGTGTCACAGTCAGGGCTTCAAGAGGGCAGAGCATGGAAACCCAAAGGGAAGTATTCACCTAGCACAAAGAGAGAAGGAATTATGGGATGAGGATTTGTCCGTGTGTCCCCAGATTTGCCCAGCAGAGGGAGACCTGTGGCTGATGGCAGCTGCCCACAGAATTAGAGGAGGCTAAAGCTGGAATAACAATCATGTCCACTATTCCTAAGTATTTAGAGAAAAAGGCTACCGTTCAAAAAACTTTTTATCTACATTAAATTCTAATTTTTATAAATCTGTAAACATATTTTCCATAGTTTGTCATAGTACATATTCAATTTTATGTTTTGCTTTTTCCACTTAACCATTTTTCCTAGATTACTATGTATTCATAATAATCATTTGTTATACTGCATAATTCTTCAAACTTCTTAGTATGACTAAATTTAGTCACTCATTTGTTTTGTTTGAAGGAATTCCAGAATATTTCAACTGACCTAATTAATTTTACAATTAATGTATTTCTGAAATTAGATATTGGCTCCTTTAGAATTGGTATCTTAAAATATGTTCCAAAGTTATGGGCATTTATGAATTTTCATTTTATTACTGTATTGATTTTATCAGAATTTCCTAACTTATAAAGCTGTAAACTATATATGATTTAAGAGATTAGCCCATAACGTTAAAGTAGTTGTGAGTAGAAATAAAATGCTCCCCTCAAGTTTGTTTAAATTTTTATTTATTATATACAAGTGTAAGAAATAAAATAGCTAAGACAACCACCCGATTTTTTTTCCCCAAAATGCATGCTTTTACTTTAATATCAGCAGATTTCTGTGTTGGCTAGAATTGTTAGGCTAAATATTGAAAAGTTCCCAAGCAAATGCATTTTCCTCTCATACTGTTATCCAAAAAAAAGTGAGAGCCATCCTATATTATAAATATGCTTTCTGCTTTTGTTATCAAATATGACACATTTAGGTTTCAACTCATTTGAAGGTTTGTGAAATATTATTTGAATTGTTACATAACTCACAAAGACAATGCTAGTCTGAAATACTGACAGCTCACACATTATCAGGTGAACTCAGAAAGCTTATTAAGCCTCATATTTCTTTGTCTTCCAGCTACTAAACCAAACAAAACCCTCCCAGTCCTTAAGACAGAACTTTCGTCACCTGTCTCCCATATTTCCGCAAGACGTAACAATCAATACGTTGGATTCCATGTTGGTGGAGTTCCTCCTGATGGCTTTGGTTTTCTCTGTAAACAGGGAAAAGGCCCTGTGGTAAAAGTAACATCTGGTATGGTGGCAAAACAGAAAGGAAGAGGGGGAGGAGGTCTGTGGGGAATGGGGAGAGGAATGACTATAAAAACCCAGCAGGAATTCCAGGAGAGACCACCCAAAAAAGCAACTCTCTGGAGAGACCTGGGATTCCATGAAGGCCTGGGGCACACAGGAGGTGCAGGCGGAGGGAGTTTCCTTCCCACACCACACAGTCCCCACAGGTAACATGGACGCGTGTACGGCAAAGGGGATGATCCTCAGCACCTGGGGTGCCAGAGGAGGTGGCACTGAGCAGACTGTGGAGAGGACTGTGACCACAAAGGGACATTTTGGACTGTGACCAGAAAGGATCAGGATGAGAATGTACAGCTTTATCCAATTATCTGGTCTCAGGGGATCCAGAAAAACTGGTCCCAGAGGTCTCCTGGGGATGTAGGTTCTTAAGCTCCTTTTACAGAGGAGGTTTCTAGGAGAACTTTGTGCAGTTAGCAACAGGCAGCTTCCCCTCTGCACTACACCATTCTCCCCACTTCCCTTGCTTTAGGTTTTATCAGTCCAGGTAGTAATCACACAGTCACAGGGCCTTACATATGTACCTGTAAATTTCCTTAAAGACAATGCCTTCTAAACCCCTTGTTCAGTAGATAAGAAAACAATACAATAAAATGACTCATGCAAGATGCCCAGGTAGTTAGCAGCTAGTAAAAACTGAATAACTATAAAATGGGAATGTTTATAAAGGTTACATTAAATATAATTTATAAGCACTGCTAACTGCCTAATAACTACACAATACAATAATATTTATGTATCTTTAAATATGTATAATAGAAACTTGTAGAAGGTATATCTGAATACAACTCTGTTCTTGGCTTAGGTTTCCTAGTTCATCATATTAGGCATAGCTGCCTAAGAATTTATGCTTATAAGGTTTGTAGCCGCCCCTGACATAGGAAGGGTTAATAATCACTGGAAAAAGCTTGCCAACAAACTGTGACCCGGAGGTGAGAAGGCCGGTTAGCCAATGACTGGTAAGACCCCTGGGGGGGCAACCTAAGCCAGGCGGCGGCCGCCCAGGGGCACAGATGGAGAAACGATATCGATATCGGGAGCAGGAGGGACCATTGCCTAAGAGGCCTTGCCTGCTCCGAGATAAAAGTATAGGAGCACAGCAATAACATGATAATATCAAAACAGAGGCCAAGGGAGGGCTCCTTGAGAAATCACGAAGAATTCTTGGCATTCACTAATTACTTCATCCAGAACACCTGTGTATGTTTAACAGCTGTAAGCTATGTATATATTGAAACGCTGGTTATAATAAACTCAGAGTGGCCATCAGCCCTCTCCGCATCTATCCTGATGTGTACATTGGATTGCGACACTGACAAGGTTAAAAAACTTGAGAAAAAATAGAGAGGACATATGTGGATAGATAATAGGAGGGAGAGGATGGGAAGGCAATGGCAGGAAGGAGAAGGGAGAGGGCAAAACAACAGAGTTAGGGATAAGCTCTATTTAAAAGGTGACTTGTGAACAGGAGAGTGTAGGAAGGAATTCCACACAACTGAAGCTCAGGGGGACAGACGGATGACATCATCGTGTGAACTGGGTGAGTGATAAGGCAACAGGGAGTGGTAGGGCCTAGGGAATACCAGAAAGCACACTAACATTCAAACTTTTTAAAACATTGCACCCAACCACAATGTGTCTGTCCTGGGCACCAGTACCATACCCCTCTATATACCACGGAATGGGTAAATTCTCAATCCCTTATAGAAGGCATAAGCATTAAAAGTCTTAGGCCCTTCATTCAACAAATATTTATTGTGCATCTACTATGAACTAAGCACTGTATTACGTACAAACATTCTAATCTCCATAAAACTTAATTTCCTTATCAATAAATGGAGACATTAATCCTCAGTTTATCCGTGATTCTGAGCCTGATCCTTTGTGACTGCAGTAGGTACAGCTTTCTATCAGTTTCTCTAAATAGCTCTGCCAGATTCTGGTGGATGCTGACAGACCCTGAGGACCCATCCTGATGGCACTGCTCCCCTCCCTCGGCTACCTGCCTCCGCAACACCACTCCATTCTTCTGCAGGGCCTTCCTTACCCTGAGGAGCCTTACCCCCTCACCCTGCTCTGCTTTGCCTCACATATATGGAAAGGCCCTTTCCTTATCATCCATGACCAAGATATGAGAATCTAGAATTTCCCCTAAACCACACTGAGTGCTGCGAGAATGAAACGAGTGGATTATAATCGGGACTTAAAAGTGGATATCAGAGAAGACTTCTCTCCAAACCCATTGAGGGTGACTGTTCTTCACTGGTGACTTAGAGATGCAGCTCCTTCCATCCTGTGGCTTGTCCACCTTCAGGTCACAGCTTCCAAGGATGCCCTGTGGATGGTCTCTAATGCAGGGAGTCTGAAGAGAAAAAAGGCATGGAATATTGTGAGTGGTAAGTGTTATGGGCCAAGTCTGGAAGGATACACATCACTTTTGCACACCTTCTACAAACCAGAACTCAGTCACTCGACCACACATACTGACAAGCAGGGCTTAGCAGGAGTCTAACTCTGAGTCCACAAGGAAGAGAAAAGGGATTATAGTAAACATGTAATAGTCTCTGACACAGAAGCTTTTGCTCACTATCACTATGCCTGGCCCTGGCCTGTCTTCCTTTCCTGCCAGGTCACAGGAGCCAGCATTTATTCCTGGATTGGGTTCGTGTGGGGATATTAAGACAATAATGAACCAATGCAGGCTCTTGAGCACAGAACCAACTGATAAAACAATGCACAAATCAGATGAGTCTGATGATTATGAATCATGTCAATGAAAGCAAAGAAATATAATAACTGAGCTAATTTTTGCTTTTTGGATCAATTTCATTGGAGTCTCTTATACACAGTAAACTATACAGAATTTAAATGTACAGCTTGATGATTTTTGACAAACATATATTCCCATGTTACCACCACCCTAACCAAGATACAGAATATTTCAACGGCCCTAAAAAGTTCCCTTATGCTTCTTTGAGTTCAGTAAGACCTAAATAAATGGAGACATACTATATTCATGGATTGGAAGGCTTAAAATTGTCTCAAGATGTCAATTTTCTCCGAATTGATATATAGCTTTAATACAATTCCAATAAAAAATACAGTAATTCCAATAAAAATACAATTCCAATAAAAAATACAGTAGAAAAATATAGTAATCAAGACAGTATGTCAGTATGTTTTGGTATAAGGATAAACAGAAATATCAATGGAACAGAATAGAGTACTCAGAAATAGACTCATACATCTATAGTCAATTCATTTTGACAAAGGTGACAAGGCTATTCAATAGGGAAGGAACTGTCTTTTCAACAAATGGGTCTCAAGCAACTAGAAATCTTTGCAGGGAAAAAAAAAAAGAAACTTCAAACCTTACACAAAAATTAACTCAAAATATATCACAGATTTAAATGTAAAAACAAATACCACAAGACTTCTAAAAGGAAATATAGAAGAAAATCTTCAATACTTTAGCAGAGGCAAAGATTCCTCAAAAAGACATGAAAACCATGAACCATAGAAACCATGAACCATAAATGATAAAATGACAGACTGTACTTTATCAAAAGTAAGAATTTCTGTTCTTCAAAAATCAGTTAAGACAATAAAAAGAGAAATCACATTGAGAGGAAATATTTATAATATATATATGAAAAAGGAGTTGTACCCGGAAAATATAAAGAACCTTACAACTCAATAAGAAGACAGACAAGAAAAAAAAAAAGGTAAAAGTTTTCAACAGACATTTCACAAAAGATGTGCATGGAAAGATGCTAAACATAATTGTTATTAGGGAAATGCAAATCAAAACCACAATGAGATACCACTTCACACCTAATAGAATGCCTGAAGTTAAAGACACTGAGCCAGTGTTAGCAAGAGTGTGGAGGACCCAGCACTCTCATACATTGTGGACAGAAGTGGACAATGTTACAACCACAGTGGAAAACAATTCAGCTGCTTTTTATAAAATTAAACAAACATTATACAGCCCAGTGATTCTACTCAAAAGAAATGAAAACTTGCCCACACCATGACTTGTATACAAGTGTTTATACCAGCTTTTTTCACAATGCTATAGGAAAAACCCAAATGTCATCAACAGGTGAATGGAAAAACGGATTGTAATATATCCATATAACAGAATACTAATCAGCAATAAAAGGGAACAAACTACTGATATATGCAATGACATGGATGAATCTCAAAAATATATCGAGGAAAATAAACCAGACTTAAGAATACATATGATGTAAATTCCATTCATATGAAATGGGAAAATAAGCTGTAATGACAGAAAGCAGATCAGTGGTTGCCTGGGTCCAAGGGTATGAGGGCTGGGAGAGAGGGGATTGTGTACAAAGGGGCACAGGAGAACTATCTAGGCTGATGGAGATGTTCTGTATCTTGATTATGGTGGTAACTACATGGATATATAAAATAACAATCATATAAGTGATACACGTGCATTTTATTGTGAATAAATTATTCATCAATAAAGCTGATTTTTTAATGAAATATATTATTGGCTGGAATGGGGAGGGTGACAATTATTATCAGGATAGCTAGCACAGTAAAAATTAAAGAATACTATAATCAACTCATAATTATGGAAATTAAAGGGGAGAAATAACGGCATGATTAATTAAAATAAAAAACTTCTAAATTTTAATTTAGCCCATGCTTTTAAAAGCTGATCTCCCTAACCAAGGCCACCCTTGAACCTTCCATGTTTTACCATTCTGGTTGCTTCATATTGTCCTAATCTACCTGTCACGAAAAAGCTATCAGATAAACTTAATCATATGACTATATAAAGATATTGTACGTTAAGCTTTAACAAACACTTTAATTTCTAAAGAAGATACTGTTTACAAACAAACAAAACCAAAAAAAAAAAATTAACACTTAATAGTAAGAGTCCACATACAAGAAGAGATGAATGGGGAAATCTGGAGGATAGGCCCTTTCTGGATTCTCCCTTCACCACCCCCCCTCAAACACATACACACACAGGGCCGCCATACAAATGGGGCCACCAACTCTAGCTATCTGGTCTAATTAAAGCTCCTGTTAAGTAGCTGAACAACCAGGGTGTAAGGACTCTAGGACCTGAACCCTGGGTTATGCCCTAGTGACATGTTCTCTCTCTCACTATGCCACATCAGACTTCCCCACTGATGGGGTGGTTATGAGGACTCAAACAGATCTTTGGTTGGGAGGACTATTTCATTTTCCTAACAGAGAATAGCCTTGATTCAGAAATAAATGAGGAAATCAGTACAATAAAAGAGAAAGCCCAGAAACAGTACCATGCGTACAATACATTAGAAGTAGCATTAAAAGTTAGTGGAGAAAGGCTGAGAACTCAGGCTCAGTAATTGGCTTTCATATGGAATCAAAAGAAAATTATAGCTCTACCCCACATCATCCACAAAAACATCCAGATCTAATGAAGATATAGATAAGACAATCTTTTAAGATTTTAGAAGAAAATGAGAATATTTATGACCTCAGGGAAGGGCAGAATTTCTTAAAGCAGACACAAAAATCATTAAGAAACATACTATTGAATTTGAACAACCCAAAATTAACATTTCCTATACAAGAGCCATTCTAATCACAGATAAGGGACAAAAAATACAGTTGTAGAAACTAACTGTTCACATATCACTAAGGATTAGAATCCAAAATACAGAAAGACCTCTTAAAAATCAATCTTGTTTTTCTTATAAAAGAAAAATAACCCAAAAGAATACTAGACAAAGATATACCAACAAATGGCAGAAGAGGAACTAAGAAATAGCCAATAGCCGATAACTCGCAAAAGCCAAAGAAATGCAAATGAAAACAGTCAGGGGCCTGCCCAGTGGTGGAGAGGTTAAGTTTGCTCACTCCGCTTCAGCGGCCCAGGGTTCACAAGTTTGGATCCAGGCAAGGACCTAGCGTGGCTCATCTCATCAAGCCATGCTGTGGCAGCATCCCACATAAAATAGAGGAAGATTGGCACAGATTCTAGCTCTGCGACAATCTTCCTCACAAAAAAAAAAAAATAAACAAAACAGGGAGATATCATCTCACACCCACAGTGGCAGGGATGTAGAGGGAAAAAGGACACTGCGGACAGCAATTTGGCAGTCTGGAGTCCAATTAACAATGTGCATCGTCAACAATTTCCTTCTTGGTATACACCTTGGAAAAATTCCTGCACATATACACAGGAATGTGTACTAGAACGTAAGCTGCGGCACTGTTTGCAAGAGAGAAAAAAATATAAAACATCTAAATGTCCATCATTAAAGGAATGAATAAACAAAATGTTAGGTATATTCATAAAATGGACAGCTAAGCAGCAGTTAAAGAATATGAACTCATTTTAATATAACTATTTGAAAATTTTATCAAAGACATAACATACATCAAGTGATAAAAAGGGGTTGTCTATGGGTAGTGGGATTAAGGTGATCTGTTTTCTTTTAAATTGCTAGTTTTTCCATTTTTTTATAATCAATATGTTTTATCAGAAGGATTTTAAATACCCTGTTTTTAAAGAGCTCTATCAATTTTTTGTTCAAGAACCACATCTGCACCCCCTTCTCTGTGAAGCACCCCTTTGGCCCCTGACCACACCAGGCTCTAATAACCTCTTCAGGTACTAAGTACCACTTTGTGATAATTTACAACTAATCCTTCTTAATGATAATAATAATATCAACATTTAGTGAGTGTTTTGTATGTGTCCTGTGTTTACTTAAAGTAATTTTTAAGTGTTCTTAAAACAATTTATTTGCATTTGTTCTTTCTGTCTCTCGGGGCAGACTGAAACCTCCGATAGCCATACCTAGAAGTGGGAGTATTCGGGAGAAAAGGGGGATATCTCCAAGAATGAAGAGGGAAAGGAACAATTTCTGAAGAGGGGGTAAGAGAGGAGTAGTTACCTAGAAACACCAACCGAATCAGCCAAGAATTAATGTTACAAAGTAATTAGGCATTTGTATAACTTGATCCTTGTATATTATGTGTATAAGTACACAAACATGTTATTCCATTATGAAAGCTATAAAAAGTGAGATGGTTTAATATTAGAATTGTTACTAATATAATTCACCACATTAACAAATTAAAAGAAAAAAATCACACTGGAGTGAAGGAAGATAGTTGAAATTTGTAGGACTCGGCTCAAACCATATCTGGAAGAAATTCTGTTGCTCTAAATATATCATCAGGAAACAATTAAGTGAGCTAATTATTCAACTTAGGAAGGGGAAAAAATGAGCAAAAGCAGTAGGAAAGAAATGATAAAGATTAGGGTAGAAATCAGTGATAAGACAAACAATAACAATAACAAATAGAAGAGATTAACAAAACCAAAAGCCAATTCTTTTAAAATTAGTAAAATAAATCTCTGGCCAAAGTGACACACAGAAGAAAAACAAAGACAAGAAAATTTTTAAAATGGAGAAAAATTTGTATTTGTTGCAATCCAGGACAAAATTTCAATGGAACTGTTTTTGAAAATAAAAACATTCTAAAATTTACACGGAAGGTAAAGGCTCCCAGAAGAAATTAACTTCAAAATATAGGACAAAGGGGGATCAGCCCGCCCAGATGACAAAATCACAGTAATAAAAAGAACAGAGAGAACAGCAAGATAACGGAGAGCCCTGAGACAGCGGCGGGTGGATGTGGGGATTGAACATAGGAAAATGAAACAGAGCATATCAATGGGGAAGGACAGATAGATTGTACATGGTGGGGGGGAAACTAGCTCACTGAATGAGAGAAATTCAACTGCGTCCCAACCTACCATCACCTACAAAGGCAGAATCCAAATGAACTAAGCGCCTAAAAGTGTAAGGTAAACTCTAAAGTTTGTAAAAAATAAATAAAAGAGAACATCCTGCAATCCACGGGTAGGGAAGAACTTCTTGAAGTAAATCCCAAAGGCACAAGCCATAAGGCCACAATTAATCATTTGATTACGTTAAAATTAAAGTTTTCTGTTCCATTAAAGACCCAGGATAAAGTTAACATAAAATATTTGTGAGAAGACATTTAAAATATCGAGAAGCAACAAAGGTTAATAGCTAGACTATATCGACATCTGAAAAAAATCACCAAAAAATGTAATTGACTCAATAGGAAAATCAACAAAAGATAGCATCATCAGGCGGTATACAGATGAGAAAACTGAAATGCTAACAATTATTTAAAGAGACTTATAAACTCAGTAATCCTCCAAATGGACAAAGAAAACAACAATGAACGATCACGTTACTCCCTATTTGATTGGCACAAATAGAAAGGTAGATAATGCCAAGGGTTAGCGAGGACGCAGGCAGAAAAACTCAAGCGCTGGTGCAGGATTCTAGATGCTGAAGTCACTTGGAAAAGTACCTGGTGGCACTTAGTAACTGTCAGAATTTGGAACTCCTTCATTGGGAAGGTGAAAATGTACAACAGGGAGGTAGAGAGATGCACACTACGGAAAAGCACTCTGCAGTCATTACGATTTAGATAAGTTAGACACATAGAAACATGGAAGGGTCTTAAAAACATCTTAAACACAGCATGAGATCATAGTGGCAGAGCTTACCAGCTCTTCCCAAACATCCACTTTGTGGAGTATACAATCTAAATGTTTATCAATAAAGGAACCCAGAAATACATTATGACTTATTCTTCAATGGAACAGACTCAACTGCATGGATCTATATAAACAAACGAAATCAATACCACGTGGGGGAAAAAAGCCTGTTACAAAACGTTAAATACAAAAGGTCATTGCAGCAAGACAGCACTTGATATTGCCTTGCCCGTCCTTAAACATCCTCTTAAATGATGTCATACTGCATCTAACATTTGGGAAAGTACTTTTTAATATTTTTAATAAAATCAGGTACTGGAAGAATACAGCCCATATGCAGAAGAGTGGCTGCCTGTACAGGGGATAGAGGGTGAATTCTTCCTTTAGCTTGTCACTTTTTATTTCTCTAAACACAATCCGAAGCAAATACAGTCACATGTTAACTTTTAAAAAGCAGGGGTTTGGATATGCAGGTTTACATCACTTTTTCTATTTTGAAGTCTTTCTCAGGAAAACCCAGTAACTACAGACCACAGCTACAAGGCCAGGAGGGACTGGTGATTGTCCAGCTCCGCATCAGCCTCGCCCCCGCCTTCCCAGGCTTCCCACCCCAACCTGGGTGGGGGGTGGGTGTCTCTTTACTGGACTCACCTCTTTTTATTTCCAGCCGACTCAGACCTGGAGTCTCCATCTTCATCACCTGAAGATTCCACCAGCATCAGCTCCTTTCCCAGTGATCTCGCCCTTAGAGGGAAACGAGAAAAGCATCAGCGAAGACCGATCGGAAGATCCTCAATGTGCTGCACATGGGCTTTAGAGCCTCGCCCAGCGAGGGAAGAGGAGCTACCCAGCAGCCGAAAGGACGCTAGTCTGCGCGAAGGGAGCTGGCCAATCAGAGACGCCAGAGAACAAGCCTCGTAGGGGGCGCGCTCAGGGCCTCTGGAGCCTGTAGGGGTTCCTGTGCCGGCGAAGGGGGCGGGGCCAGCGTGTGGGCGGGGCTTCTGCGGCGTGAGAGGCTGTGGCCGCAGCTAGGAGTGGCGTTCGCAACGCCGCTCACGCCGGAATCCGGCCTCGCGCGGTTTCGCGTGGTCTCCTCGGTTACGTAGTCTGGGCTGCCGCCGCGGCCCAACCAGTGCCCCGACTCTTCGCCGCGTCTGCGTCTGCGCCGTTGCTGCTGTGTGCGCGCGCGTCTCATAACCGAATTTCGGATGTGAGAGTCACAAATGTGGTTTGTTGTTTTTACTGACGCACAAAACATGAAAAACATCTTTATAGGAAATAAACGGTGGGCCGTGCCCTTTCAGAACAGTAAACTGTTTCCCAAAATATCTCGCTGACAATGGCAGGAGAAGGGTATGTAATTTAAGTGGCCCACATCCACATAGAACAGCCCCACCAGTTCTGAGATCCTGCAGAGGGCTGGACTCCAGGCCCCAACCATGGGTCCCTCGGATGTGGAAGAAGAGGTTGCGGCGCAGGCAGCCCATAGGTCCTGCTGCCCGCGCTGCTCTAGCTGGGGTTACACGCGGTCTGGGCGCCTCCCTGCCGCAGGTGGCCCAAGGCGAGACGCCCGAATCGAATGGAACCTTGCACCCCCCAGGACCCGCCTCAGGAGGAAAGGCGGGGTGCTTTGTGAGGGGGGTGTGTGTGTGTTCGGAAGTCATCCTCATGGCTCATCTGGGGTGTGGGGGTGGAACTGGGTAAGGCTGAAGAAGTGAAACCTGATGACAGTGCTGGAGGAGAGGCTCCTCCAGTGACACTCCAGAACCTCAGAATGTCAGCCCTCTGTCTGGGCCCTCTCACATCCCTTTTACATTTTTCTGCAGCAGGCCAGGCATCAGTATGTTATTAAAAATCTCTCCAGAGGACCAGAATGTGCTGCAAGGGTGGAGAACCACTGATCTGGGCCGAGTCCCACACAGTAATGAGTGCTTTCTTTGTCATCTCTAAAATTGAGTCAATAGTTTTCTGGAGTAATGAAGGCCCAGAGAAGGGATTGAATTATCCAGGATCTCACAAAGATTAAGTGATGGTGGCCCAAGGATTCCTCTTTAGCAGGTCATATATATGAAAGTGCTTTGTGTGGGCAAAGAAGAGAGGAATTATCGATGACCTGAAGAACTCAGACCTTGTCTTTCAGGAGAAACTGGGGCTGAGTCTGCTGAGGGTTAGGGATTGAGAATGTCTCTGAATCTCTGCTCCTCCCTTAAGTTAGACGTAGAGACTTGAAGCAGAAAGCGTCTTATGCTAGACTGGAAAAATTGCCCTAAATTCATCTCATCGCATTTCTCTTTGCACCCCATTTTGCATTGTGATTTTGCAGCTGCTCCCATCAAGAGGTGGAATTTATTTCTCTATCCCTTGAATATGGGTTAACCAATTGATTTAAGAAATGTGACCTAAACAGATGCTTGAAAAGAGCCTGGTGCATTGCAAGTTGTCCCCCTCTTGAGTCTCTCATAACCCTGAAACAACCAAGTGAAAGATGCTAAGCTTGACTGCTAGGGGATGAGGCACTCGCGTCTATAGCCTGCCAACTGCCAGACTTGTAGGTAAGACTGTCCCAGATCACCCAGCGCCAGCTGACTCTCCTGTTGATACAGACACATGAGAAAGCACAGCAGAGTTCGACTGAGATAGCCCTGACTACAAGAACCACCAGCTAACCTACGGAATTGTAAGTGGAATAAATGTAGCAGTTTTTTTTTTTTTTTTGAGGAAGATTAGCCCTGAGCTAACTACTGCCAGTCCTCCTCCTTTTTGCTGAGGAAGCCTGGCCCTGAGCTAACATCCGTGTCCATCTTCCTGTACTTTATCCGTGGGATGCCTACCACAGCATGACATGCCAAGCAGTGCCGTGTCCGCACCCAGGATCCAAACGAGCGAACCCCAGGCCGCCAAGAATTGGAACGTGTGAACTTAACTGGTGGGCCACCGGGCCAGCCCCAATATAACAGTTTTAAGCAACCAAGTTTTTTTTTTTTTTTTTAATCTTTTTTTTTTTTTTTTTTTTTAAGATTTTATTTTTTCCTTTTTCTCCCCAAAGCCCCCCGGTACATAGTTGTGTATTCTTCGTTGTGGGTTCTTCTAGTTGTGGCATGTGGGACGCTGCCTCAGCGTGGTTTGATGAGCAGTGCCATGTCCGCGCCCAGGATACGAACCAACGAAACACTGGGCCGCCTGCAGCGGAGCGCGCGAACTTAACCACTCGGCCACGGGGCCAGCCCCAAGCAACCAACTTTTTAGGCGGTTTGTTACTCATCAAAAACTGACTGACACACACTCAGTGAATGGCCATGAAATACTCTTTACAACAGTGACAACTCTGCCTGTCCTTCAGGATCGGTAACCCTTGGTTCTGAGCAAAATCCCAGATGCATCCAGCTCCTTGTCCTATCCCCTGCCCCTCCCCTTTTTTCATTTTTGTATTCCTCCATTTCTTACATGAGGAAACAGCTGTGGAGATTAATAAAGTAGTCCAGGCTCTAGTGATGTTTTCACCTCCAATTTGCAACATTTTCCACTCTCACATCCTCAGAAAGCTTTTCCCATCTGACTCGGGAGCCCGCTGAGTTTCTCAGCTCCTGGAGGGGTTGGCTGATGACCCCAGAGCTATAGAAGCCGAAGAGGGGGTGGAGGAAGTGGGGGAAGGGGAAAGAGAGGGACAAGAATATATCAACAGTCTTTTAGACAAATGTTCATATGCTGTGACTCAGGAATTTTCTTTCAAAAACCCATCCTGAGGAAAAACAAGCGAGGTAAAGACCTAGTTACACACAATGACGTTCATTTGAACATTAGTTATAATTGCAAGAAACAACCTGAATGTATCTGAGTCATCATGAAATTGGTGCAGTCATTTAAAATCACATATTCAAATAATTTTTACTGCTGCAGAGAAAAGCTCACAATGAGAAAAAAATGCAAGATCTAATTATATATATGGAGAAGGTGATTTACCACCACAGTAGGGTTGTTTGTTCCTTAGAACTGAGAGTATAATTTACTATATTTTACAGTATAACAATAAATACCTATTAATTTAATCATTAGATATTTGCATCTATTTTCATATTTACCTATAGAAAAAGGACACGAGAGGGGAAGGTGGCAGTGATGCTGACTCTGAAAAGTTGAGCTCAGACTGAATATTGGTAGAGGTGGCTACTAGGATGTGACCTGGGGATGGAGGGGTGCTAGAACAGGGAGACTGAGACGGGGAAGGTGGAAAAGGCAGTGCCAGGCGCATTCCTGACCTAGTTACCACCGTGAGCACGTGCTTTCCATATCACTGGATGCCCGCTGAGGCACTGTGTTGAATAAGTCTCAGAATTGTTCCTCTGAAGGTCATTTAGCTGGAGCCTTTATCCACCCACTCCAGCCCCACTTAGCTTGAAGGTTTCCTCCTGGAATGTTAATCCTCCCCACACTTCCTATCTGCCCAGCTGGTAATCAGAATGAGCACACTCAGCTTCAGAAAAAGCAGATAGGAAAAAGACTGCTCCGAGCCAAAAGTCCTTGTCCTAAATGACCTCGGCATTGTCTAGAACCAGAGAGAAGGCCACTGTATATGCAAGATGAGAAACAGGAAGAACAGATTACAGACAGTTCCCAATTTACTATAGTTCAATTTAGGAGTTTTTTGACTTTAGAATGGTGCAAAAGCGATAGGTATTCAGTAGAAACTGTTCTTCAAATTTTGAATGTTGATTTCTTTTCCCAGGCTACTGATATGCTTATGATACTCTCTAGTGATGCTGGGCAGCTCTGTCAGCCACGCAATCACGAGGATAGACAACCGATATTCAACACTTTACTATAAAAAAGGCTTTGTGTTAGATGATTTTGCCCAACTGTAGCCTAAGGTAAGTGTTCTGAGCACGTTTAAGGAAGGCTAGGCTAAGCTATGCTATTTGGTAGGTTAGGTGTATTAAATGCATTTTCAACTTGAGATATTTTCAACTTAAAATGGGTTTATCGGGACATGACCCCATCGTAAGTAAAGGAAGATCGGTGTTAATCCAGGAAGGTGAGGTCACCTGTGACCACCCAGCTCAAGACAATAGAGTTGCCTCCTGCTACGCCCTCTGAGATAGCCGACCCACTACCTGCTGTGTCCATCAAGCGCAGTGCCGACAGGGCAATCTTGTGACTATTGTGGGAGGGACATTTCAATCATATGTGAAACGTCCTGTATGGGGGTATATAACCACTCTGTACACCTCACTTCTTTGGTGCCTTTTCTTCCTTTGGGAAGAAAGGCCCTGGGCCATGGTCCTCAGATTTCAGCTCAGAATAAACTCACCCAAATTTTCATTTATAGATTGGTTATGGATTATTTTCGTCGACAGAGGAATTGTCAAGAAGGTATGAAGAAGGGGCACCAGGGGGCCCCTCTTCTTTTGTTTTCTGGGTAGACATGTACCAGATGCTGCCCACAGGCCTGACCCACTGGTAAGGGAGTTTCCCAGACTGGATATATGAGACACTGGGCTGGGGGGAAGTGGGAGCTCCTGCCACACACTCACTCCCTGCAGCTCTCTGATGAACCGTGCTCAGAATTTTAACAAGATCAAGCTGCCCAGGTTCATGTACTGCCTCTTCAAGGTGAACGAGAAGGAGCTCAGGGGACTACAGTACATTCCCAATCCTAGCTGTGAGTAGAAAACACTAATAACCTTAAGTTTGTTATTGTGAGCACAGGAGCCCTACAGGGCATTCTGCATCATCAGATATTTCAACAAATTGAGAAGGGTTTATTTGAATTTATTGGAATCTGATTCTTTGAAAGTTGATAATCTAGTTTAGATCATAAATACGGTCTCACACAGAGAACAGCAACTCTAGTTTCCTTAAGCAAACAAAAAACACAAACAACAGTAAGAACAAGGAATAGATTGGAAGGATACACCAGGCAACTCACAAAAGAAATCATTGACCCACTAGGCTTCATGGCAGACAGGAGCAGGACTGCACTGTTTGATGAGGATTTTAGGC